TGTGGTTCAACTCCTCGACCATGTATGATCAGACGCCAACTCGACTGGCCATGATGCTGCTCCCGACGATAGCAGCGGTGCACTTTCTGCACCAGAAGTCCCAAGGTGTGGAGATACTCCCCTGGGCCGTGCTCACAGAGCTGCTAGAGAGAGTGAAGGGGCTTGGGCTCATCACTAAGGATGAGATCCTGAACCTTGCCGTGGAGATACTCCCGGAAGGTGGGATTCGACAGGTGCTCACACACCTCCACTCCATCTCGGGCATCGATGAATGGGGACAAATCCGGCACAGACGACGAAGAGCCCTGGTCGAACAGGGGATGCAGTACCTCTCTCTGGTTCGCATCCACGCTGGAGACCTGATTTCCCCAGCAAGCCTCGGTTACCACCGGTACGACTTGGAGATAATGGAACGAGAATCCCATATCACGGGATACATCGCCAAATATCTCCCTGCTGAGTACCAAGAGGCCTATCAAGCTGATGTGCAGACGTTGAGGTCTCAGTTTTTTGCTGAAGACGGCAAACTTAACCTGGCCTCGGCGACGTGGGAGGTATCTTACAATCACCTCATGGCCGCCACTTCCTGAGCCAAGTGAGAAGAGGAGATGCTCCCTAAGCAAGAGCTCCTGTAACAAATAGAGGAGTTTCTCCCTCGTTAGGCGTAGAGCTGGCGGAGTTACTCCCCAGGGGTTTTTGAACTAGTAAAGAGTCACAGGTGGAGCTTCTCCCCTAGTTGGTGGAGCTTCTCCCCCAACGAGGGGTGTACAGCTGGTGGAGTCTCTCCCTAGGGGTTTTTAAAAGCTTTGAGTCGCTGCCTGCAATAATTCTGCCTGCACTGAGCCACACTGAGCCAACAGCAATCCACCATCCGTGATGCAGGTCTCCTCGTGGTGGCCTGGAGCTCAGTGGCCTAGGCCCAGCTGCCTGCTTAGAAGCCAGCTTGAGCCAACAACCGCAGCTTTCTCTCAAGACTCAGCATCATGTCCAGACCTGAGTCAACACAGGATCCCTCGTTTCAAGCGGAGTACGAGGAATTCTGCCAGCGACGGATACGTGAACAACTTCCGCATGTCACGTATCGCAATTTCCTGCGCCAGTGGAGGCGCTCCGCTCGTGCTCACGGCGAAAGCTATCCTGCATATAAAGGAGTCTCTAAAGGTACTGGTGGACAGGAAGAGCTGGGAAGCGGAAAGGGTGGAGTCACTCCCCCTCCTCCTCCTTCCAAGAAAAGAAGTACAGGGCAAAGCGAGGGTGGAGATACTCCCCCAGCAGCAAAGGCCAAGAGTGGAGATCCTCCCTCGGGGGACCCAATCACGGAAGCTGCGATCAAAGTTCTTCAGTCAGCTGGTTATACGCCCTTTCCCAGTCTGATTTCAGACTGTGATGGGAACATCACTGACCTGAACAATCACCGAATTATGGTGACAGTAACTCAGCAGCTGCGAGATGGCCTCAATCAGGCGGAACGACCCTCCCCGGAGATAGCCAATGCTCTCCTGGAGACCTTCCTGGCCTCTCGCCGGGGACTTGCCAATGAGCCTCTGCAGCCGAAGCTTGGATATCCCACAGCTGAGGAGAATGGGTGGTTTCGTTTTGAGTATTCTTCACCGAACATTCTTCCTGCAGGGGACAGCGAGGTTGCGTTCCACGGCACACACCTGGAATGTTTGCATGGGATACTGGCCACAGGCAGGCTACTACCTTCGACACCTGACCTCTCCGGCACGCGAAGCTTCGAGGCACGACCAGGTGTGTATCTCCACAAGATGTCAAACAGGCATCTTGCTGCCGGTTACAGTTGTCTGGTGAGGATAGGACCTCGGCACATATTCGTGCGGCCCATGTTTGAGGTGGAGGCTGCGCACTCTGGATCGCAAAAACGTGGTAAGAAAACAAACCAACTGATATACTCCTATGATGCAGTCAAAATCCGAGCGCTGCTACTGCAAATATCAACCAAGGAGACACTCACCTTAGGTGAGTACCTCCGAGAGTGGAGTGGCTTGTTGGAGATACCACTGAGACAAGCACGGGAATCCTTTTTGGCGTTGGGATACGAACTGCCTGGCGAAGCCTCGTCAAGTGGAGTCAAGGAAGGAGGAGTTGCTCCCCTTCCGGTTTGTGAGCAGGCGTCCAGCTCACAGGGTGGAGTTTCTCCCCCGACCATGGCGTCAGAGATTGACCACAGCTCAACAACGCCACGTAGCTCCACTATAGTGGCCTGGGAGGGCCAACCAGGCGATCTAGGGGACTATTGCACTGCCTCTACGAAGCCGGAGACCAGCTTCTCGTTCGAAGTCTCGAAGGCTCTAGCAGCTTCGCTCCGGCACGGACATAAACCCTACATCAGCGTCACTTCAGCTGGTTGGGCCAAATTAGAGGACGTCCTGAGATGGCCAAGAGTGCAGGCCCAGCACGCCACGGCAGGCGACCTCATGGAGGTCGTTCGGAGTAACGCAAAAGGCAGGTACGAGCTGGGCGATTGCCAAGGCCAGAAGTACATCAGGGCTCTGCAAGGACATTCTCGCTCTGATGTGGACTCCAATGAGGTGTTGGAGGAACTCACGGAGGAGATGCTCCCCAGAATGCTGTATCATGGCACATTCTGGTCCTTGTATGACTCCATACGCCAACGAGGCCTTCTGCCTCAGAACAAGATTTCCAAGGGCCGCGGCAAAGGCGGACGTGGCAGAGAGGGACGACAGCATGTTCACTTCGTCTCGGATCGGGACTATGGGAGACCTGGTGTTTCTGGATTCAGAGATAGCTCGTCGATGCTGGTAGCGGTCGATCCACGCAGAGCCATGCAGGTAGGGGTGCAATTTTTCCGTAGCAAGAACGGCGTCATTCTCACCCCTTCCGAAGTGCCCCCTTCTGTCATAGAGTACTACCAGAGCCTGAAATCAGGTACTAAGTACGGAGGCGACAACAGGCCGCTCTGATCGTGAGGACCCTCACCTAATGGTGGAGTCCCTCCCCACACTGATAATGCAGCTGCTCACGCAAAAATCTATGTTATGAGGCTGAAGGTCACTTCAATTTCATCACCAGACAGCAAGTATACCCCGAGGTCGCATGTGAAGCTCCGTGCGCAGTCGTGGGCCCGGATCTGCAAGTGAGTTGTCAGCCAAAAGTTTTCTGGAAGCTCTACTTGCCTTCTCGTACAGGCTCAACTCACCAGCTGTCTCGACTGTAGAAGCCATGCCTGAAACACCGAAGAAGAGTGGCAGCAGAGCGACCTCCCGAACCCCTCCTCCAGTGCGACGTCGGCCCCACCTATCCAGGTCGCCGCCAGCCAGTGACGCCATTCGGGAGTCCGACTCCGAAGACACAGCAGCCCCTAAAGCAGCCCCTAAAGCAGCTGGGCCTAAGGGCCCGCCGCCTCCGATGCCTGTTAACCTGTCAGGAAGTGGATCTAGCACAGATCGGACACCGGGCCCAGGTAAGGCACCTGGAGTGCCAGTGAAAGGTGGAGTCCCGGGAGGAGTTTCTCCCCTGGGACCACCGCCAAAGGCTGTGACCTCAACGATCTCCCATCCAGGGACAGGAGAGCTTCATGTCACCAGCACAAGTCCGGCAGGAGTTGCTCCGCCATCTACAAATAGCAACAACGGGCTGGAAATGGCGCCTGGCCTGCCTTTACTGAGTGTTTCATTGCCTCACCGCCTCTACTATAACATAGAGCTAGTGGTTCGTACCGAGCCTTCACAGCGAGGCTAGACACTCTCGCGAGACAGCAGTGTGCAAAATGGACGTCGCCAATCAGTCAGCGATACATTGCAAATCAGCCGGTTAACTACTTCATTAGTGCCAGAGTCTGCAGCTCGAGTCACTGAAGACACGTCCGATTCCGACTTCATTGCTTGCAGCCTTGAGGGGCGGAGCGTGTGCGAGTGCTGTGTTAAGGCACGGCTCGTCATGAAGTGACCGCGCAAGTAGCAAGCAGAGCAGCAGGTCGATCCCTCGCAAAGCGTGGACGTTAAGTTTCACCTCAGACAGTATCCTCCCGCTGCGTGTGAATGAAATGCTACTTTCATTTGTATCATGTTCGGTGTGATTATGACGGTTATTGTCTGTATTATCGTATTATCGTATTGGTTTGCTGTTGCGTCGGTTTTATTCGCGGTCTCGAGCCGGATTGCATTTTGGAGTCCCGGACCTAGGGCCTCCGCAACTTCGCTCTCTCTCTCTCTCTCTCGGTTTAGGGTTTAGGGTTCAGGGTTTGGAGTTTAGGGTTTAAGGTTGGGGTTTAGTCTCTCTCTCTCTCTCTCTCTCGCGGTTTAGGGTCTAGGGTTTAGGGTTCAGGGTTTCGAGTTTAGGGTTCAAGGTTGGGGTTTAGTCTCTCTCTGTCTCTCTCTCTCTCTCTCTCTCTCTCTCTCTCTCTCTCCCTCCTCATCATACGTCGACCTACCGCTCCCTAAACCCTAAACCTCGGCCCTAAACCCTCATCCTGCGTCCTAGACCCTAGATCCGAAATCAATGCCCCCAAGCTTGAACCTCAACACCCGAAGCCGTTTGAAGCCCTAAAAGATCTAACAACACAGAACTCAATGACGTCTTTCTTGTTCCTAGTGGTCGAGTAGGTAACCTTTAACCTTCTTTTGGTAGTATAGTCCGGATATATTCCCTATATACCCAAAAAGGTGAACCTTCAGTTCCCCATGATACCCGACAAGTAGGTATTACATATAGAACAGTATTCGATTGCATTGTAATATAGCCCCGATCGCCATGCTCCAATCAGTAAGACCCTTATATTATCATGATATGGGCACAGACCGGGGCTTTTTCAATGGGTTCTGTTCTTGTTTGAGGTTCGTCTAGGGCAAGATCATATTTCATAACCCAAAGAGCCGTGCCCAATGCTTGAAAAAGACCCAAGATGGGGGGTTTGGGCAATAAGTTGTAATAGCATTGCTTAGACTTCCTTGTCAGAAGAAGTAAGGCCGTTAGTATGTGCGCTCAGCCCGAAGCTGTAGACCTTAAACGTAAGCCCAATGCTCAGTAACGTCCTCAGCCAAGGTCATGGCGAAGAAGTGGACCTGGCCGGAAATCCATGACATGGTGCAGAAGATCACTGCGCATGCCCACGAGAACACGATGCGTCTGCTGCATGTGTCCCTGGATAAGGATCTTTGAATGAAGGCCTCCTGGGTTGGAGGGTTTTATGGTTCAGGGCTTCAGGGTTTCAGGGTTTAGGGTTTAAGTTCTGGCATCCCCTATGTCAGGGTCCGTAAATTTCAATTGTGAGAGACTTTTACGTCGCTGCTTCTTGAAACCTCGAATGTCGCATGCGAAATCCTAGACGTTGGACCAGAACCCTAAACCCCCCCCAACCCCTGCATCCTCATGAAGAATTGAGTATGCGAAAGTTCTCGGTTCCATGATGACAGTTATGCAGTATGACAGTTTGGCAGTTGTCATCGCAAGCACTGACAGGTCCATCGCAATTCTGGTGGGTGGCGGTCAACCGCACACCTAGTGATAAGAAGACCAACAAGGCATACCGGGCATGAGGAACAGCCGGATGTAGATGATTGAAAATCTGACAAGCAGCAATGGGGTTTCAAACGACTCTTCTGTCATCGTGTGAGAGTTTGTCAACGTTGAGTTCTAAACCCCAAGCTGCGCAACCTGAGTGCCCAGTTCTTCGAATTGCTGTGGCCTTATATTGAACCTTGCAAACATCTGCTGGCTACTATCTTCAACTCCATAAAGTCCCGCTCGCAGCCACCTAACCCAAAAGCATCAACACATAGAAATCAAACGATTAACCCAAACCTTCAGAACCCCAAAACCGCTACCACGGCCGGAAACTCCTCACAACCGAATCCGAAAAGTCCCATGACACGCAGAGACTTTCAGATTCCTTCATTAAGGAATATACCTTAAATTGCAATAGGATCCCTAAGATGATATAAGGAATGTGCTATTCCTTCCTTGCCTCATAGAACCCTTACAGATCCCTTTAAGGAATCCTTTGAGCGAACCCTTAGGAACATTCCATTAGTAAAGGATATAGGACCCTAAACCCTAAACCCTCAAACCCTAAACCCTAAACCCTTAAACCCTAAACCCCTAAACCCTAAACCCTTAAACCCTTAAACCCTAAACCCCTAAACCCTTAAACCCTAAACCCCTAAACCCTTAAACCCGAAGCCCTAAAACCCTAGACCCTACAGATCCCTTGTGGATCCCTTTAAAGGAACCCTATTAGATCCCTTTAAGGATCCCTTTAAAGGAACCCCTAGAGATCCCTGAAGTCTCTGGAGACCCGAGGTTTCACATCGATGTGCTCGTGGGCGCGGCGACCTTCATCGACGAGAAGACGCTCCTCGGCTGAAGCCCTGTTTATGGGTTTAGGGGTTTAGGGTTTAAGGGTTTAGGGTTTAGGGGTTTAGTGTTTAGGGTTTGAGGGTTTAGGGTTCAGGGTCCTATATCCCTTAAATAAGGAATGTTCCTAAGGGTTCCTCAAAGGATTCCTTAAAGGGATCTGTAGGGGTTCTATGAGGCAATGAAGGAATTTTTCATTTTCGGGCTGTACCCGAAGCCCCGCAGCCCTGAAGCCTAGACCCGACAGCATGAGACTTAGTAAGTAGGCTTATGGGGGTCCCTGTAAGGGATCTATAGGGGTGCTACAAGGGTTTAGGGTTTAGGGTCTACTTGGAGGATCATGGGAATTATTAAGTAGGGTAATACGCACCTTAATTGGGGTTATAAGTAATTATAAGTGTAATTACCTTATACTTATAACCCCGACTACGAAGTCCCATGATCCTTTAAGTCGACCCGACCGAGACGCACGACTTTAAGCCAAGCCCTAAACTCTAAACCCCAACCCTGAGCAAACCCTAGACCCTACATCCTTAACCTTAGGCCCGAAATCCGGAAGCTTAAGCCCTTAGCCGAAAACGTAAACCCAAAACCCTCTTTCGGAGCAGCGGAACCCCGGAGCCAGCAGGCTTCGGAGAGATCTTCCTTGTCTCTGATTAAGGTAACGTCATAGTGTATAGGTATCTTGTTCAAACACATTCCACTTCTTTCTAGGGAGTTTTGAGGTTTCGGGTCTAGGGGATTGTGTAGCTTTTCTTTAAAAGGTTTCGTTTCCGAAGGGTTATCTCTAGCGTCGAGAAGACGTTGGAAGAGGGTTCCTTATTACAAGTATAATATAGTGGGCCCCAACACCCTATTTTAATTAGTGAGGCCCCTATAATATTACTATCTCTTACAATAGCCCTGATAGACCCCTCTGAAAGGATCCCTTTAAAGGAACCCTATCCTAATTACTGTTGATGATATAAATCCTGCATTACGTTAAAGACCCTCAACTGTGGGAATCGCGGGATATTCCTTACTATTATGGGTAATGCAGGATTTATATCATAATTATCGGTACCCTTATAGCTCCCTTTATAGGAACCCTAGGATTTATACCATCAATCGAAGGATTTATACCATCAGTCGAAGTAAGGCCCCTTTTGTTCTGGGAAGTCCAGGGCTGCCTGTCGGACTTTGGGACGTATCTAGTACTTGATCTCGTTTCTACAGTAGAAGCCCAAAAGTTGGAAACCCAATAGCCTCAAGCCTTAAGAGTAGTGTAGATGGGATCCCAGCACTGTTTGACTTTTACCCGGTTTTCAACTTTATGGGGTTTCCTGTACTTGGAGGATCATGGGACTTAGTAAGTAAGGTTAGAAGTACCCTAATTGGGGTTATAAGGTAATTATAAGTACAGTCACTGTGTTTGTAGCCCTACTTACTAAGTGCCATGATCCTTTAACTATAGTCTCCCTTTTAGGTCCCCTTCTTGAAGGAACGAGTTGGGCCGATCCCCCTTTACTGTAATAGTCACATTAGAAGGAGCCCCGGGTCAAGTCCATCGGGATATCTGCCGAGATCCACGAACCATAGACCTGCAACCTAGACCCTAAACATCCCTCAAGCCTAAACCCTAAACCTTCATAGAATCCTTAAAGGAACCCTTAAACGAACCCTTAAAGGAGCCCTTACAGGAGCCCTTAAAGGAGCCCTGAAAGGAGCTCTTAACGGAGCCTTTAAAGGAGCCCTTACAGGAGCTCTTAAAGGAGCTCTTAAAGGATCCCTTAAAGGATTTGAAGGAGCCCTTAAAGGAGCCCTGAATGAACCCGCAGGGTCTCCATCGCCGAGCCCGGGGGCGGGGTCAAGACCTTCGAATCCTTCGCCTTTGTGGTGGCGACGGGATCTAAGGCCAATCGCCTCCCGATGACCCTCGCTGCTCCTTAAAGGGATCTATGGGGTTCCTTTAAAGGGATCCATAAGGGATCTGTAGGGCGTAGGGTTTAGGGTGTAGGGGCTCAGGGGTCTAAGGCCAATCGCCTCCCCATGAACCGCTTGAAGGTTGCCCTCAAAACCGTAAATCCTGAACCTCTGCGATAGAAGAAACTCAAAACCCCAAAGCCTAAACCCGAGACCCTACTTGGAGGGGCAGAGGACGTAGTAAGTAGGTTATAAGTAGACTTACAAGTACCCTAAATGGAGTTACCCCAATTATAACCCTACTGATAACCCTACTTACTAGGTCCCCTGCCCCTCCAAGTAAAGCCTAAACCCAAAGCCCTGGAGCCTTCTTGGAACCTTTATGCTTGTGGATGGGCTCAGGGGTTTAGGATTTAGCGTTTGGGTTTTGGGGTTTATGGCATCTTTCGCCTTCAAGACACCTCCTACCAAGACATCTCCTGCTTTGAAGGACGTATGTCAGGAATCGCAGGGTTTTTAGGTTCAGGCGGGGTCTGAGGGGGGGGGGTGGGTTTGGAGGGGTTTCGGATTTGACAGTTTGCGGGGCTTTTAAGGTCGGAGGGTCATTGGGACTTTGCCCCTGTCGTTGTTCCATTTTTTTTTTTTTCTTTTGTTTTTTGTTTTTCGGATTAGAGGCTATTGGGTCTTTGAGGTTGCTATGGGCGAGTATGTTCATGTCAAAGGGCTTTCCGCACCTGAGCATCTCTCCAGGACTCCTCTACGAGTGAAGCTTAAGGGCGTTGGTCTAAAGCGGTGAGTTTTTGCCAGCGCACTGAACAAATTATGTGCTTTGAAGGAGTGCTCCATAGGGTTTAGGGTTTAGGGCGTAGGGTTTAAGGGTTTACAGCTTTAGGGGTTTAAGGGTCTGGGAGTTTAGGGGTAGGTTTGAGGGGTTTTGGGCTCTTTGGCTTCATCCCAGGAGAAGCCCTTTGGAGGACCCGCATGACACCTTTCAACGCCCTATTCCACAATGCCCTACAACCTTGACCCTGAACCCCCCTATAGAACCTTCGGATGCCTGTGGGAACCGTCTGAAAGCCTGACGATCTAAACCCCTGAAGCCATACAAACCCGACTTGGCTCTAAACCCTCAACGCTAAGCCCTAAACTCGACAAACCCTTTCTGGACTCTTAGGCCCTTAACTCTAATAGCCCTTTATGGACTCTTAGGCCCTGAACTCTAACCTTTATAGGAATCCTCAAAAGAACCCTTAAAGGAACCTTTAAAAGAACCCTTGTGGAATCTTAGGATCCCCTTCGATCTCCCCGGCGTCTACGACTCCGACACCATCAGCCGCCTGGCGGGATGTCGCTTCGGAGACCCAGAAGGTTTAAGAGCCTGAAGTCCAAGGCCCTCAGCCCCAAACCCGAAGCCCTAAACCCCTGAACCCCAAACCCTAAAGCCCTAACCCCTAAACCCCTAAACCCTAAACCCCTAACCCCTAAGCCCTAAGCCCTAAACCCCAAGTGTTCATTTCGGCTTTCGAAGGGTTTTGATACTATGCAAGTTTAAGCCACGCTAGTAACCCTAAGCCCTAAGCCGTAAGTCCTGAATCGAAACGGCTGAGGGGCGTCCTGGAATCCAGACCCGAAGCCTTATCCTCCAAACCCGACAAGCCCGAAGAGGGTAAGGAGCTTTAGGGTTTATGGTTTAGGATTTAGGGTTTAGGGTTTAGGGTTTAGGGTTTAGGGTTTAGGGTTTAGGATTTAGGGTTTAGGGTTTAGGATTTAGGGTTTAGGGTCTAGGGTTTAGGGTCTAGGGTTTAGGGTTTAGGGTTCCTTTCTCACCTCTCATCGCCCCGCCCATGCGTGCTCCAACCTCACTCGACCCGAAACTCTAAGCCCTCAAAGTCTGCATCCCCCCATATTCCTCAAACTCTGCACTCCGCCATCGAGCTATTCATCTTGAAACCTTCCAAACTCCTCAAACCGGACCGCTTTCAACTCTGGTCAAATCCTGAATTCCTGAAAACCGTCTGTCCGACAAAACCCGCTAAACCTTAAACCCTGTATGAGTGGCTGTCAAAGTTAGGGTCCCCTTTTGGGCACCCTAAATATTAGGTGCCGTTTTATAATAAGGACCCAAAAAGGACCCTAATATTGACAACCACCTGTATAAACCCTGAACCCCTGCTTCCCTAAACTCTTGAAACCCTAGACCTTAAGCGCTACACTTTAAACCCTTCAAACCTTAACCCCTAAACTCCCAGACCCTTTAAACCCCTAAAGCCGTAAACCCTTAAACCCTACGCCCTAAACCCTAAATCCCTTTCGGTCCCTAAAGGAGCCGACAGCTGTTCCAGGCCAGATCGACTTCATTCCCAAGTCCATGGTGGTGCAGGGTGCCGGGATCATAGGCCGGTTTAGGGTTCAGGGCTTTGGGCTTAGGGTTTAGGGTGCAGTTCGGGGCTTGCGATCTATAGCAGGGTTTGGGTCTAAGGTTTAGGGCTTAGGGTTTAGGGCTTAGTAGTGCTAGACCATAAACTCCATTTTGGGGTTGTTTAGGGTTCAGGGTCTAGGGTTTCGGCACTCGTTTCGGCTTCCGGGCCGACTGTTCCTCATCGAAGGGGCTCAGAGTGTTTTTGATGGCCTCTGCGGTCCAGAGTCATGGAATCAAGGGTTTACGGTTGAGGGTCTAGGGGTTGAGGGTCCAATCGAGCACTCAGCCTTACTGTAAGTCCCCTGCCTTGAGAGGCTTGGAGTATGCCAACATGTTCGCGAAACTGGGTGCGCGGGTCGTGGTGGTAGAATTCGCCGCAGCTTGGCTGAGACCGCAGGCGCTCATGCCAAGCGTGGGTTTGGGATTCATATGAGGGCGTTACACAAGCCTTCATGCGAGCCCGTGCACGATCTTGAAGAGAGCTGTCTACAGTTCCACAAAACGGTTTCGATAGCTGTTGTTTCTCCTCCAAAACAGCAAGAAAACGGTTGTACTTGCTGTTTTTGAAGAGAAGTTCGGAATTCTGAGGCCATGTTGGTATGCTGTAAACTAGGGGATAGTATGTCCAGGGCCTAGAGGGGGATCGCCTAGACCCATCACCCAAAGCCCGGAGAAGGACCCTGGTTTTACGTGAACCCCCCGCCCAGGTCTCTGCGTATCTACTTAAAGGATCATGGGACTTAGTAATTGGGGTTATAAGTAAGGTAACTACAGTTGTAATTACTTATAACCCCAATTAAGGTACTTATAACCCTATTTACTAAGTCCCATGATCCTCCAAGTAGCCATAGTGTGCGTTCGAGTCCTTGTGCACTCTACTGTCCATACGCTGCTGTACCACAGTTTGCCAGCGTATACGCAGGTATCGACATACTAACCCCTCAGGGGTAACTCTCCTTAAGATGAAAACTAGAAAAAAGCCCAACTATGCTATGATCCTGTGCGATTCTATGCTGTGCTACGATATGCAGTGCTATGCTTTGCTGTGCTACGCTTTACTATGAATTGTGCTTTGCTATGCTGTTTGTTATACTATGCAATACTATGTTATGCTCTGCTCTGCTATGCTGTGCAATGCTATGCTATGCCATACTGTACTGTACTATACCAAAATATACCATGCTAAAGTACACCATACTGTACCATGCTCCACCGTACTATGTCATACTATACTATACTAACCAGTGCTGTACTGTAGTGTACTGTACTTTGCTATACCACACCATATGATGCCATGCGGTACTATACTATATGCCATACTATACTCTGCCAAGCGAAACTATGTTTTGCGATGCACAATACTATACTGCACTTTGCTGTGCTATACTTTACTGTACTATACTTGACTCGACTCGACTTTGCTACACTATACTGTAGCATATATACTATGTATACTCTACGGTACTATGCTTTGCCATAGTAAACTAAACTATACTACACTGAACCGGACTAGACTGGAATATACCTACCCTTACAAGCAATGTGGCTGCACTGGACTGAGCTCTTCGAGGGTCCAAAAGCCAACCTCAAAACCCGAATAACCCGTTCCTCATTGGTCCAAAAGCCAACCTTAGACCCAGCTCATGGGGTCCTCATTACTTAGGGGTACTTAGAAATATTTTTTATTTTTGGTTATTATATTCCCTAAGAAACAGCTAAGATTATAATTTTTGCTAGAGTTCTACGTTCAGTCTAGATTAGTTGTATGCAGTTACATGGCTTGCTTCAACAAATGGTTGGTGCTGCTTGATTCTGCGCCGTTGAGTGGCCCTCAACCCCCCGACCAACAGCCAACAGCCTTCGAATACCCAGAGACTCCAATATCCCTTACTTAAGGAAGACTCCTTAGATTATATTAGGACCCCTAATATGATTTAAGGGCATATTCCTTAGTTAAGGGATTTTGGAGTCTCTGGGTATCCGAGGACAAGATGCTACAGATGCTGGATCGCGAGCTGCAGGTCCGGCGGCCAAGCCCCAAGCCTAGTCCCTTCTCATCCTCGCAGCGCGAAGCACGAAGCTGCTGTGTCAATCGTGTTGTGCTGAAGGTTCAGGATTTCAGGTGCTTCTTCGACCTTCCGATCGGGATTTTGAGGTTCGAACCGCCTTGTGGTTCAGGTTACGGTATGCCAGGGAGATAGGACAGCGGCTGTCTATCAGCATTTGCTGTGCTCACCTTGACATGAAAAGTTTCTTGATCCCGAGAGCCTGCTGTGTGTCGCACTCCCTAAAACCAGAGACCCTGAACGTCAGGAGTCTACCCCAGACCCTAAACCCCAAGCCCTCTTGAGTAAGTAGCCCTCTCCGTTTCTTGGGGCAGTACGACTCTGTGATTGCCCTTGCCTTTACCTTTACGTCTCTTGGGAGTAGGAAAGATGGAGCCCAAACTCCCCAAACCCTGAGCCTGAAACGGCGAACCGTCATGGGGCATGCCATAAGAGTAGAAGCTCCCATAAGAGTAGAAGCTCCCATAAGAGTAGAAGCTCCCTGAACCCTAAACCCTAAACCCTAAACCCTAAACCCTAAACCCTGAGCCAAAAACCCAAAACCCTGCATAGGCAGCGCTGCTTGCAGATCTCGCCGCGAACAATGTGGAAATCCTGCTAACGACCCTTTTGGGGGTTCTTGTGCTGCCGCAGGGTCCCATACACATTCTTATGGGGGTTACGAGAATGGTAGATGAGGAAGGATTCGCATTTGTTCTATCGTAGAGGTCCCTACAGGCCCTAAACCGGTTCTTACAAGGGTCCAGAAGGTTCTGTTCAGGGTTCCAAACGAGCTGCGGCAAAGGGTTTCGGGGGTTTTATGGGTTAAAGGGCTCTTAGGGTAGTCGGCAACAGCAGTAGCAGTAGAAGTATGTAAAATGTTGTTCAGGTCGTCATCAGTCCCAGAACCTCCACCCCGCAGCACTTCCCTGCCTGAACCCTCAACAAACCCCAAAACTGCCCAGTCTGCGTACGGCCGAATCGTGGATCGTACCCATCCGGCAAAGAAACGAATCCTTCGGGGAAACCACTCAAGATTCAGCTATTCGACCCTTGGCCTTCCAAACCTACTAGGATGCCCAGTAGTACCCTTATTCCCATTTTGCAGTCCTGGGTTCCTTATTAAGTGACCCAATACCAAAAAGGAGCCCTTTCTATTCCTAGGTTACTGGGCATCCTAATTCCTCAGAGACTCCAATATCCCTTAATCAAGGAATTTTCCTTAAATCGTATTAGGGATCCTACTATAACTTAAGGTATATTCCTAAAGTAAGGGCTATTGGAGTCTCTGGGTACTATTCCTCAGATCGGAGCTCCTGCAAGGATCCGATACCTTAGGGTTCCTTTTAAAGGGATCCTTTAAAGGTTCCTTAAAGGGATCCATAAGGGTTCTATCTCGGATTTAGTGTTGGAGTTTCCGAAAATTTGTGGTACCTTCTTCTGGGGTCCTTATAACAAGGATCCTACTGTTCAGGGGTTCAGGGTTTAGGGTGCAGGGTTTAGGGGTTTAGGGTTTCGGGTTTAAGGGTTTGGAGTTGGGGTCTCAGATAGGGTTCATCTGCGGTCTTGCCAGGACTTCCATCTCGACTGTGCCACTTGTCTGAGGGATTCGGGGTAGCGAGAGGTTTCAGGGTTTAGGGTTTAGGGCCGAGGTTTCGAGGAATAGGGGTTTTGGGCTTTGGGGCGTACGTTTAGGATGTCCCTACTAAACCTTAATATAAACCCTAAGCTCCAAGCACTAAGCCCTAAACCCTGAACCCTAAAACCACCAAACCCTAAAGCAAAAGGCCCTAAACCGATGCTTTCCGGGTGTTCAGCATCGTTGTGCTCGGAATTTCGAATCTCTGGGGCTTTGGGGGTTCAGCGGTCGGCCTTAGGTAGATGTCAACCTCGAAACCGTAACTGGGTCCTTGTTAAGGGATATGTAGGATATGTAGTTTAAGGGATCTATAAGGCTTATCAGGGTTCCTTCAAGGGTAGAGGGATATTAGTTTAAGGTACCATAAGAAGGCAGGAAAGCATATTATTTACTGTAGATCCCTATTATGGCAACATAAATAGAGCCTTTAACAAGAGCCGAGCGCAAGAAGCCCGAAACCCCCAAACCCTGAACCCTAAACCCTAAGCCTTAAACTTTAAACCCTAACCCCTAAACCCCTAAACCCTAGACCCCCAAACCCCCAAACCCTAAACCCTAAACCCCTAAACCCTAAACCCCCAAGGCGAGAGGTGGAGGGGAGCATCCGGGGCAAACCCTCGCTCATCGTGGAGACCTCACGAGGTTTGGAGGGGCCGTCGAGTTTTGCTTTGTCGTAGATTTGGGAGTTTCCGAAAATTGGGGGTACCGTGTTTTGGGGGCCTTATAATAAGGGTCCTACTATTTAGGGTACTATACTGCGCCGGGCCGATAGTTCGACCCACTAGCCTCAACATGCTTGACAACACATGGGCCTCCACCCTCTTCCCCATAGACTCCTAACACAAGTGAGCCCTCCGCCGGAACTAAAAAGTATTATATTTTTAACACGGCGTAGGAATTACTCCGCTGGCCTGCGTAGGGTAAACGGCACTTTGAAATACTCCGCTACTCCGCAAGAGCTTGTATGTAAGATGATGCACAAGTGGGTCGAAACTTTCGGCCCGGCGATGTACTGGGGTCCCCTATACTCGGAAACTCCCATTTCAGTATTTTGGGTGAGCGTATTGCTAATACTACTATTACTATTACTACTACTACTATTACTACTACTACTACTGCTACTACTACCACTACCACTACCACTACCACTACCACTACCACTACCACTACCACTACCACTACCACTACCACTACCACTACCACTACCACTACTACTACCACCACTACTACTACTACTACTACTACTACTACTGCTACTACTACTACTACTGCTACTACTACTACTACTACTACTACTACTACTACTACTACTACTACTACTACTACTACTACTGTACTACTACTACTACTACTACTACTACTACTACTACTACTACTACTACTACTACTACTACTACTACTACTACTACTACTACTACTACTACTACTACTACTACTACTACTACTACTACTACTACTACTACTACTACTACTACTACTACTACTACTACTACTACTACTACTACTACTACTACTACTACTACTACTACTACTACTACTACTACTACTACTACTACTACTACTACTACTACTACTACTACTACTACGACCATTATTACAATTACTATTATTACTATTGTTATTTCTTATTTTTATTGCTAGTACTGCTGATATTGTCATTGCCATACTAACAATTACTAATCATCATTGTATCTGCAGCAACCGCAACAGCAACAGGTACAATTGCGGCCATGGTCGCACATGAGTAGTTAAAGTAATATTACTTGCAACAGTAGAAGTATTCGTAATCATAATGATCATGGTCATGTTTCCAGGTGCCACGTTTAAGATATCAGGCCCCATGCGTTAAAACTGGTCAGGTCCACACGCGGCGGTGAAGGGTTCAGGGTTCAGACTCATTCTAACCCGCAATCCCGGAGTGAGCTATAAATTATACCAAAGATGCACCGAAATATTCCTTATGAAACAGGTGTTTGGGTTCTCTGTGAGGAAAAATCAACAGAGTTTATGCCTTTGTCCAAAGCTTGCAGGCTCTTTTCGGTGCGAGTGCCTCTTGTCGGCGGTAGGACGCTGCGGGACGACGGAGGGCGTGGGCCCTGAGCTCTCATTGGGCCCTGAGCTCTCGACCGTGTAGATTGGATTTGAGGGTGAGAGTTTAGGGTTGAGGGGTTGGAGTTGAAAGTCAGGGATTGCGATATCAGATTCAAAGGTGGTTTCTGAGGCCCATGAGGACTCTGAGTGTCAAGGATAAGTGATAAAAGCTTTGGGCATTTGGCAAAATTCCGTGTCACTGGGCTTCCTTTGACGGGACTCGGCGTCACCGGGCTTCGCTTTCTGTAGACGCTAAAGCCACATGCTAGAATCCTCCGGGTGCAGAAAATATTTCAGTTTAAGGTCTGAGATTCGGTGACAGGGCTCGGGGATATCGCGGTGAAAGTTGTTTACGGGATTTCGGTACAGCGTGGTGCCCAAATCCATAATATCGAGAGGGTCATCGTTCACGATGTGGACTGAGCACGGCGGCCTGACGATAGCGACACTTACGCTTCGAAACGTTGGCACGGTTGTTGTTCGTGATTTGGAGCGAGCACGGCGCCTGGGCCTAGACTACACCGACACGGGCTCTTGCGTCCGCGATTTTGAATGAGCACGGCGCCTCGGCGACATGGAATGAGCACGCTGCCCAGGCCTGGACCACAGAACCGAAAGCAACCACAATTCCAGACAAAAATCAAGAGCAACGCACAAATTGTTTGGCGGTCTTGAAATTTATGTCCTCTTTGAAAAGCAACCCTGTGCTGGATTGCAGCTTTGCTCCACAGAATCCCGGCGAGTCGGTGCTTGATTCACCACTTCCTTGTGTTCGCTTGGTTTCGTTTTTTTGGTTTTTGATATTTTTTCTTTTTGCGGCTTTCAGGGTTTTGCGCCTGAGGGTCTTCAGTCGAGAGTGTAGGTAAGCCCGAAGCCCTAAACCCTAAGCCCTAAACCCTAAGCCCGAAACCCTAAACCCTAAGCCCTACACCCTAAACCCTAAGCCCTGAACCCAAAGCTTCAGCCCTGCTGCAAGGCATCCTTTCGGGACCACCGACAGACGAGGAAGATTTCAAGCTCCTGTACCTGAACCCCCCCTAAAACCTAAACCCTAAACCCCTAAACCCAAACCCAAAACCTCAGAATCGATCGCTTGCATCCCCCTCAAACCCCAAAATTTTGGAACCTGAACTAGCGTCCAGAGGCCTGAACCTTCGTGCCTGAGCCCCCAAAAAGCGAGAGCTAAGCCCATGCTCCTTCGGTATCTTTCTAGAATCGAATGGGAGTTTCCGAAAACAGGGGACCCTCGTTTAGTACCCTAAAAAGTAGGACGTTTGTTGTAAAAAACAAGGTACCCCCCCCCAATTTTCGGAAACTCTAAACCCTTGTAGAAGCCTTTAGAGGAACCCTCTCAGCAACCCTTTAAAGGAACCCTTGGGTACCCCTTATTTTGGAAGCTCCCATGTTCCTAAACTCTAGTGAGGCCTTGGGCTGGAGAAGCTTGGGGTGACCATCGGTGGCCCCGGTAGCATTTAGAAGGTTGGCAAGGGCTTTTGGTTTCCGGGCTTATGGTTTTAGGGCTTAGGGCTTAGGACCCCGGTAGAGTTCAGAAGGTTTAACAGGGGAATTTAGCTTCCGGGATATGGGTTTAGGGTTTAGGGTTTACGGTGCCGGGGGTTGCGGCATGTAGAGGGTTGTCGGAATTAGGGGTTCCGTTGAGGGGTTTGGGCCGCAAGGTTTGGTTTCTGTTTTCGTTTGGGGTTGTGGGGTTGTAAGGGTTTGGGTTTAGGTTGTTGAGTCCCTAAACCCTAAACCCCAAAACCCTAATCCCTAAACCCTAAATAGGTTCAGGTTGGGGTTTCGGGCCTTGGGGTTCAGGGTTTTCAGGGTTTTGGGACATCACGCCCCCAGAAGCCCCTCAACCACAAACACCCCGAAAAGCTCGGAACACCTTAAATCCACAAAGCCCTAAGCCCCTCAAAAGCCCGAAATCCGCCACCTTCCTTCAAAGCCAAAAACCCTAAACCCCACACCCTAAACCCTCAAGGGCAGTGCTTGCCGACTGCCTGGCGGACAGTAAGAAGGAGCTTCAAAAAAAACTAAACCCTTGACCAACATCGTCGGCTTTTGGAGCCTGGAACCTCAGCTACTTGCCCTGTCGCTTGCGGTTTTTCATGCCCTTGGGTGCGTCTGTGGTGGAGAGTTTAGGGTTTAGTTAGGGTTTGTCTACTAAAGGGACCTGACTGGATAGAAGAGGCTACAGAAGTGTAGTGGTTATGTCGGCATACTCGTACCAATCAGCAATGCTCTTATGAACACCCTTGAGGAAGAGGGGAGAGTAGATAAGGGTCTACATTGTCTACATCAAAGTTATGGGGTTTTGAAGTGTGCGAGCCCTCAACCCTGGGCCCTCGTCACCAATTCGCGCAATTTTTCAACTGAACACAAGAACAGGGATGCAGATTGCAGCCCCTAAACCCTAAACCCTAAACCGACCCCTTGGCAGCCTTAAGCGTCAAGCCTGGGCGAAAACATCACATGCACCAGGTCGGGGGAAGATGATTCAGGTCGACGAGATCCTCGCCTGATGTAGGGGCTGTCAGATTTTTGATGTTTAGTCGAATTTGTGGTGCATTCTAACCCAGAGACTCCCATATCATATTCCCTAAGTCATAGTAGGGATCCTGCTATGATTTCAGGAATTTTCCTTAATTCAGGGATATTGGAGTCTCTAGGAATTTGACCCGCAAGAAAAGCACCGCATGGCCCCTCCGTAGATATTATCCAACAAACCCTAAACCCTAAACCCTTCGCCCTAAACCCTAGACCCTAAACCCTAAACCCTAAACCCTAAACCCTAAACCCTAAAACCCTATTCCCTAACCCTAAACCCTGAACCCTGCTTGAGGCCTTGGTTAGTCTCGTGCTGTTCCAACTGCCCACGGCCTGTGAACCGCCCCCAGGTTTAGGGTTTAGGGTTTAGGGTTTAGGGTGAATGATTTAGGTTTTAGGATTTAGGTTTTGGGGTTTAGGGTTTAGGGAAGGTTCCTGAACCTAGTGCAGGACGAGAGTATGACTGAAACCCTAAACACTGAACCAATCTGTTAGGTTCAAGTGAAAAATAATGGTTTTGGGATTGTAGCAGTTGAGGTCAACCCCAAGGTTGCAATAGCTTGAGCCCGAAGTGCTAAACCCTCCTGTGCGCAGGACCCGCGGATCTTAGGACCCCGAATTTTGTGAAACCCGGAGAAGCGGAATATGGGAGAAGGCTCATGGCGCTGCGGATTTCGTACACTTTGCCATGACGGCATGAGGATGGTGACGTTCGAGCTTTCTGGTTTCTGTTTAATTCCATGTGTCTTTCTTTGTAAGAAGCTTCAATGCACAACACAGGGGGGGCACCATGCAGCAAGACGGAAAGTCAATTGTTCACTGTAAGCCCATATTATGGCAGCTTGTCGTGAAGTACTAAGACAGCAAGTTCCACAGGAACCAGCATACCGGTGTGGCCAACATCTATGCCGTCGGAGATGTTGCTGGAGGGAATCTGGCGACCATTGGGCAGGCCCGCAGACGTAGGAAGAACCCTTAAATCCTAAACCTGAACCCCCGAGCTGTGGGAGAGGTTCACGTTTATTGAGGCCGGGGGCCCAAAAAGCTGAGGGGTTGCCATGGATATTACTTGCCGATGGCTTGGGATCGTCGGGAAACGTGCCCGTGGCATATCCTGTGTACTGTCGCCTGTTGACAAGGTGTCTATTATGTGTGTGGCCGAGGTCGGTTCCTGGAGGCAGGGAAAAGACAGTCTATTACGGACAGAGAATGAATCTCCATCTTGAGTTCGCAGTCAAAGATTCCTCCCAAATCCTGACAAGCCCAATACGAGCTTTTGTGTAACGTCCTCTAAGCCCCAAATCCTAAAGCCTAAACCCTATACCGGAAACCCTGAACTCCTGGCTATCCCTTGTCTCCCAAACCCTATGCCCTAAACCCTAAACCCGGAACCCCGAAGATCCTAAACCCCCCTAAACAGGCACAGGCTGTTCGGGCCGTGCGGCGTGTGTTCGGCAGCGGCCAGTTCACACTTGTTGACAAGGTGGGCCATCCAGGGTGGCACAAGACGCCCGGGAGGACCTAGAAAGTAGTTCCCCTAACTTGGAGCCCTATACTACGAAGGGCACGTTATAGGAACCCCCATTAAGGGATCTACTTTTTGGATCCTCCCGGTGAAGGCTTTATAAGGAGTTCTTAAAGGATCATGGGACTTAGGAATTGGAGTCCTTGAGGGGCCCCTTTAAGGGGTCTATAGGGGTACTATGAGGGTTCAGGAGGGTACTTAAAGGATCATGGGGCTTAGTAGGTGGGGTTATAAGTACGGTAACTACAGTTATGATTACTTATAACCCCAATCAAGGTACTTATAACCCTACTTACTAAGTCCCATGATCCTCCAAGATCCTCCAAGTATAAGGAGTTCTAGACAGGGCTTCAGAAGATTCGCTCCACAGCTCTATAAGGGGTTTAGGGTATCAAGCGTTATCGCAGGCCTCAAGCCACAAAGCCTTATCCTTCTGATTTCAGGGCTTCAAGGCCTTGAGGTCTACGATCTATGGCTTTGGGGGTTTGGAGGGCCTGAATCCTTAAACCCCTGAAGCCGGTTTAGGGTTTAGGGTTCAGGGTTTAGGGTTACCGATACCATGAATCCAGAATCCGAAACCCTACAGCGGAGGGGCTCGAGCTGCATTGGGAACCTTGTTGTTTCCGCGGTTCGACTGGCCTTGGCCTTCACTTTGAAAGGGTCCGAAGAATTGCTGACCATGCTTTGGGGTGTAGAGTTTAGGGTTTAGGGCTGTGGGGTTTGTGGTTTAGACTTTAGGGTTTCAGGTTTCTGCCCAAGCCATCAAACGTAGGCTCGGTTCTGCTCCTGTTACCTTCCATGCTCGACTTAGACCCCGAACCACTCGTAAAGTAAAGAGGAGCTGAAACCAAACCTTGAAGCTTCATATGGGTGGTTGTCAAAATATTAGGTGCCGTATTAGAATAAGGACCCAACAAGGGACCCTAATATTGACAACTACCCATATCCTAGACCTTGGAGCACAAGGAGCCCGAAAGCTTGAGTAACAAGCTACTCTTTAAGAGTCGAAAGCCCTACCCAGAGGCCCCATAGTAGTTCCTTTTTGGGATCACCTTACAAACCCCGAAAAGGAACTGCTTTGGGGCCTTCGGGTAAGCTCCCCCACCTCCAAACCCCGAATCCCAAGCTCTACTTAAAGGAGCATGGGACTTAGTAATAGCGGGTATAAGTAGGGTAACTACAGTTATAAGTACTTATAACCCCAATTAAGGTACTTATAACCCTACTTACTAAGTCCCATGATCCTCCAAGAAAGCTCGACCGAAGACGCCCGGTGTAAGCCCTGCTTCTGTCACCCCACATACACCAAAACAAGCCGAAAGCCGAAGTGCAGTCAGTGAGGCGGGTTTCGGGTTTCGGGTTTAGGCTTTTAGGGTTTCGGGTTTCAGATCCCAGCCCATGCTTTCAACACTACATCCTGAACGTTTAACCTGAAGTTGTACACCTTAAGCTCCATGCCCTAAGCCCGAGCCTTAGTCCGATCCTGAGCCCTTGCGAGTAAATCTCAAGCTAAGCCCACGATGCTGGAAGTCAATGCCCCTGAACTCCCTATCCATAGACCCTTAAACTAAAGTCCTAAGAAGGAACAAACCTTTACTGTAAAACCTGCTTGGAACCCAACTGTTTAAATGCCCACATAGAACTGTAAGTGATCCCTATGCCCAGGCCGTGAAGCCGTTCACTGTTTGGACCATTCCGGAAATCTCCTGGGCGGGCTTAAACGAGCAAGAGGCGTACCGCTGTTGAATTTTCCGAAACCCTAAACCCTGAAGCCTGAAGCCTAACCACTACTCTAAACCCTGAACCGTTTGTTGAGGTTGGGCTTCTTGGGGTTTGGGGCTTAGAGGGCTTAGACGAGTTTGTTGTGGTCTCCGGAAGTCCAATTTATGAACGCTTTAGCTGCTGGCTTCTTCTAGAGCTTATACAGCGTTGCATAGATTTTGTGGCCTTTCCGACGCTTCTACATGGTGCTATAGAAGGGTGAGGAGTTGGTGGCAAAAAGCAGCATGCAGCATGGTGTCCGGCTGCAGGAAGACGGCTGACTAGCTCTTAGCTCTTCAGGAGTAGTAAAGAAGCCCAAATGAATTAAAACTACTATTCCTGATTTCGGTTGTTTTCGGTTCCTTATTACAACTATACTATAACGGAGCCTAGAACCCCACTCTAATTACAAGGCCCCTACATAACCCTTTGCAATTACCGTATTTGTTTTGGGGTTTCCGTATTGAAGCTGAGAAGCCTATATCCTACCCCCCTGCACGCCTAAACTCCTATATCCTAAAGCCCCTAAACCCGAAACCCTAAACCCAACCTCTCCGTATGGGGGTTTCCGAACATTAGAGGTACCTCATTTTGGGGTCCTTATAACAAGGATCCTACTATTTTGTTTGGGGTACTATATTAGGGTCCCCTATTTTCGGAAACTCCCGTATTGAAACTGAGAAGCAGGAAGAATCACCTCGTATGAATAAGGGGAAGCCTGTCCAACCGGCGCGAAAGCCTCACGAAGGGACCCTTCCGGTTGCCATCCGAGCGGTTTGAGCTTTCGCCTCCGATAGTTCAGAAGAACCCGGAGACTCCAATATCCCTTGATTAAGGAATATACTTTAAATCATAGTAGGATCCCTATGATTATTTCAGGAATATTGCTTAATTAAGGGATATTGGAGTCTCTGGGAAAAGGGACCTGCGATTTTTCGTGTTAGGTCGCAGGATCCGGAATGTGAGGTCCCGAAAACTTCAGACCCCAACATCGCCGAAAAGGATTCCGGAAGCTTTCGAAACCGCCTGGGCAGACAGAAGGGAAACCCTAAACCCTAAACTAACCCTAAACCCTAAACCTAAACCCTAAAAAGGATATCTTTCCGTTTAAGAAGCCCTGATGTCTAAACCCTGTAAAACATGTGGGTAGTTGTCAAATTAGGGGTCCAAATTGGGTACCCTCAATACTGGGTGCCGTATTAACTTAGGGACCCAAAAAGGGACCCTAATTTTGACAACCACTCATGTAAAACCCCTATGAGAATCCAGGGGGCCCTTGAGCCTTGAAAGCTCCAGCTGCTAAGTCTTCTGAAGAAGAAGGAACGAGACATCCCAACTTTTCGGTGTTTCGGCTTCGGGGCTTTGCGGGTTTAGGGTTGAGGGTTTAGACTTATGGGGTTTGTGGTTTTTTGATGTAAGGGTTTCTGGGTTTTAGTCTTTTTGGGTTTTGGGGTTTCTGAAAAGCACTAAGCCCTGAAGTCCCTAGGCCCTAATCCCTAAAGTCCGTAAGCCCCAAAGTCCCTAAGCCCTAAAGTCCCTAAGCCCTAAAGTCCCCTAGAGCCCTCAAAAAAAAAGCCACCCAATATCCGTAAGCCCTGAGCCCATAATCGTACAGGCCGAGCAGAAGAAGCTGAACTTCGGGGTGGTTCGTGCAGACTATGGCAAGACGGTCCGCGGCATCGCAACTTGACGGGAAACCTATAGGGTTTCGGGATTCCTTCAAGGGGCTCCTTTAAAGGGACCCTAAGGGTGTAGGGATACTATAGGGCCATATTTGTTCTCGGGTTTCGGTGTTTCTTCAGGGGTTCTATAGCCAATATGGAGGATCTAAGGATGAGAATAAGGTTGTGGGGGTATCATTGTACTATTATACTTCTATCCGGAACTAGAGCGCAGCATTATTACCAAGTATTCCGACCCCCATAGGAAGCCCTAGATCCTACACCTCAAACCGACACTACCTGAACCACAAGCCTTATGCCGAAGCGAGCCCCTTGGAAACTACATCGTACATCGTTGTTCGAAAGGCCACAGCAAATTCTAGTTGCATTTGCCTAAACGGGCTCAGGGTTTGGGGCTTAAGGTTTAGAGTTCAGGGTTTAGTTAAGGATTCAGGGTTCAGGAAGTGAGTTTGGGCCCTGTATCGAGCAAGTTCCTCCGGCCCGGACGGTCGACAAACAGCCTTGTTGGCGCTGTCCCGTTTCCCAAGGCCCCTTCTCAAACCCGCATGCAACCCTACACCCTAAACTCGTCCTAAACCTTAAATCCGAAACCCTAAACTTCAACCCTAAGCCCAACCCTTCTAGAACCAGCTTATAGATGCCGTACAGAGCCCCAATCCCTTGACGCCTGAGCGATACCCTGAACCTGAAGCCCTAAACCCCAAAGATGCTAAGCCCCCTGAAGCCTAAACCCCTAAACCCGTAAGCCCAAAGATCCTAAACCCTCCTAGTCCCTAAACTCCAAGGATCCTAAACCTTAATCCCTAAACCCCCTAAGCCCTAGAGCCCCTAAACCCTAAACCCCCTGATGCCTCAACCCAAAGCCCCCTAAACCCTCAACCCTGAACCCCGTAAACCCCCTAAATACCCTAAATGCCCCAAACCCTCTGCAAACCCTGACAAGGTTTCCGGTGAGCCTGGCTTCCTGAAGCTGATCTTCGACCGTGGCTCGTTCGCTTTGGGGACTTTGCAAGGTTCCGCAAAGGCTTCCTTAAATGCAGAGACTCCAATATCCCTTCAATAAGGAATCTGCCTGTAGGGATCCTACTTGAAGGCTCATGGGACTTAGTAAGTACGGTTATAAGTAGGTTATAATTAGGATAACCCCACTTAGGGGACTTATAACCCCACTTATAACCTATTTACTAAGTCCCATGATCCTTTAAGTACTGTTACAGGGCCTCCAAAACTGAAGTTCTGGTAGCTTTGAGGTTCTGGGGAGGAACCTAGGCTAGCCCGGGCAACCTGAATCAACTCCCTTAGCAAGAACCCAGTAAACTCTAAACCCTAAGCCTTAAGCTAGACCCTGAAGCCTAAATGCAAAGCCCGAAACCCAAACCTTGAAAAAACAAATCCTAAACCCCTAACCCCTAAACCCCTAAACCCCTGAACCAGACACCCCTAAACCCCTAAACCTTCCCTAGCACTAAACAACAAACAAAGCCTAAACCTTACTTGGAGGATCATGGGACTTAGTAGGTAGGGTTATAAGTACCTTAATTGGGGTTATGAGTACTTATAAGTAAGTGTAGTTACCCTACTTATATCCCCAATTTACTAAGTCCCATGATCCTTTAAGTAAACCTCTTGGATCTGGCTTTACCACTCTGCGAAGCTTCAGGAGAGAACGGCAAGGTCCTGGGCGTCCACATCTGCGGCGCGCAGGCCCCGTGGTCTGGGGGAGGGGTTCCTTTAAAGGGATCCTTAAAGGGATCTATAGGGTTCCTTTATTGGGATCCATAAGGGATCTATAGGGTATAGGGTTTAGGGGTTTAGGGGTTCAGGCTTTAAAGGGAACTCCAGAAAGTTGGAATATGGTTTCAGGGTAGGATACCTTATACTTTACCATAAAGGGTTTAGGATAATCACATTCCAACTTTCTGGCTTTTACTTTAGGGTTTTGGGGCTCGCTCGGTCTGGGGGATCAGAAGACTTAATGTTAATTAAGTAAGTTTGCAAGTACCAAGATTGGAGGAATAGAGCTGCAACCAGCTGCTTGACTTTCGCCCTAGCTGCAACGTGCCATGATCCTTTAAGTAGTGCAGAGGCCATCGCAATTGGAAAAGGTTTGGGGTATTGTATTTTGTGGGGACTGTAGCTGCTGCTAGTTGTGCAGACGTCTGTGCTAGGGTGTAGAGCTTCGAGGGCATGGTGGACCCTTTCAATACAGTTCAGGATTTACTTGGAGGATCATGGGACTTAGTAAGCAGGGTTGTAAGTACCTTAATTGGGGTTATAAGTACCTCTAAGTGTAGTTGCCTTACTTGTAACCCCAATTACTAAGTCTCACAATCCGTTAAGTAGGTTTTGAGTTTGAGTAGCTCTGGGATCGGTTTTGGAGCGGCGAACAACACTCGAATTCTGCAGCTCTCTACTAAAGTCATGCGCTTCCTTCTTTTTGTTAGTTTCGACAGGCCTCTAGCATTTTGCAGCTTCTTGGTTTTGCTTTTCCGCAATGACCTGGTCTTCTGGTTTGATGTGGCTATCGTGTATGTCCTGAGGTCTCCGCAGCTGCTGGTTCTGCTGGAGATATTGATTTAGTCCGACCCCAACCTCCTCCCAACTCCCACCCAAGCCGCGCAATTCGCAAATCTCTGAGCCCGTGACCCATATGCCTAGCTGAAGCTCAATGCCCAATGAAACGAAGAAGCTCGTCACCAGACAGGAGATCTGATTTGCTCTGAGCACCGCCCAAAACAGGGTGCTGGGGCCTAGACCTCGCACCCTAAACTCTTAACCTGTATAGAACCCTTTTAGCACCTTATCGTACCCCTAGAGTACCCGTTTAGAGCGCTAAAGAGTGAACTCCAGATGCTGTCTTTGAGGCTTCTGAGCTAATCAACTTCGGCGCAGATGCGGTGGACTCCGGCACGACGATGCCTGCACTTAATAAAGCACAGTAGAATCGAATATAACAAAACAGAATAGAATAGAATTCAAACCGACAGCCATTAAGTGCAAGCCACCAAGCCCTGTCTGGCGCGATTCTGCTTGTCTTTCAATTTGATAGCCAGGTCCCTGCATAGTGCCCTTTGAACCTTTTTGTTGTGTGGTTTCCGAATGAAAGCCCTAAACCCTAAACCCAATATTGGGCAGTGGGAGTTCTGGGTTGCAAAAGCCGAGGATCTTCGAGATTCTCCAGTTCGTCTTTCCTGCCGTGCCTGGGTTCTGAACACACAAAGCCCCCAAAACCCGGAGCCCTCAACCCCCTTAGGGTGGAGAGTTTCGGGGTACAAAGTTTCGGGTTTAGGGTTCAGGGTTTAGGGTTCCGGGTTTAGGGTTTAGAGTTGAGACGCCAAAAATCAGCCCTCAGCCCAACACCCAAAGTCCCAATTGCGAAGACCCTGGCAAAAAAACACCTGATCACACAGCCGTTGCTCCCGAATCTGAACCTAAACCGTAAACCCTAAACCCTCAATCCTAAACCCTAAACCTGACACAGAAGCTGCACCCCCCTGAACCCCACCACCGTAAATCCAACATCCCATGCCTTTGCCCCAATCTCTGAACCCGACATCGGAAACCTTGAAAAATTTAACCTCTAAACCCCGAGCCGTAAGCCTCCAAACGCGGAAAGCCTAGACCCCTAGACCCTGAATGCCTGGATCTTAGGTTCAAAACCCGTAGACCCAGCCAGATAATTCAAGAATTTCGAAGGAGTAGAATTGGGTAACGTTTTACTTTTTCATGGGTACTTAAACCCCAGAAAGGAATAGACATTTATTTGTGCATGCTAGCTACCCCAAGCATGAGCTAGTTTCGTCCTTGAGCTATCCACAGTTTCTCCTCAACCTTCCTACCCTCAAGCCCTTAACCTTGGGTACTGCCCCCAATTTGTAGTGATTAGATAATGTCTACACTATACTATAGTTGCTATGGTTATATAATATGACCCTCATTTGAACTTTTACAGTGTGAGGGCAGCACCCAACCTAAACCCAAAATTCTAAATCCAAATTCCTGGTACTCAGGTGACTTTCCACATCCTCTACAACTGGGCAGCTGCAGAGGCTGCTTTGGGGACTCCGTTTGATCCCTTTGGCTGAATATAGGGGCCTTCGCAACTAGAATAGGGTTTTGGGGGGAAACTCGCTGATACTCACCAAAACTCGCTTAAACTCGCTAAACTCGCTGAAACTCGTTGTTTATTGTAAGTATAGTACAAATATACTCCCAAACCCGATTCGAATCATTAAGGCCCCTCTCAGGGGTTCAGGGTTTCAGGGCCTGGGGGTTGGGGTTAAGGGTTTAGGGTTTAGGGTTTAGGGTTTAGGGTTTAGGGATTGGGACTGGAGGATGTTTTTATACCCCTGGTGCAGGTTAAGTTTTGAGTTGTGAGGCTGTAATGAAAGGGCCTTACTTGAATAGTTAGATTAGGGCAAGGGTTTTGGGGTTCCTTGTTTTTGTTATAGTACAGTATACCCCCAAACCCTTTTTAATCTTGTTAAGGCTGCAACAGTAGGTGCTCAGACTTAGAAAGTCCGGGTCCCGGCAGTTTTCAACCTTCGTTTCGGACTTCGGGGTGGATCCTCTGTGCGTTTTGCAACAGAGGGGTTGCAAGCCGGGTAACTTAAATGGTAAAACTCAGAGCCCGTTAAGGCCTGTAATTTAGGGGCCGAAATAATTATCCAGACGACTGCGCCGGGCCGATAGTTCGAACCACTAGCTTAAACAACGAAGTTGACCCACGCCCCACCCTCTTCCCCTAGACTCCGCTGGCCTGCGTGGGGAAGTCGTTACTTTGAAGCACTCCGCTACTCCGCAAGAGTCTGTATAATGATGAAAGGCCCGGTAGCTCAAAGCTTTCGGCCCGGGGATGCATTTTGGGGTTCCTTATGAGAAATACAGTAAAATACACCCCAAAGCCCGATGCTGGTTATTAAGGCCCTGGCGTACGATAGCTTTGCCAAATCTCCCAAAACCGGGCTGAGGCCAGCTATGAGGTCTTACGGCACAGTTTTCGTACGTTGGGGGTCACACCGGCGCCATCCTCCTCGTCGTCCTCCTCCTCCCCTTCCCTGTCCCCCATCACATGTACATGGTGACCACAATCACTGCAAAACGGCAATATCTGTTTCCCCGCAAAAGCAGTCCGAGCGAATGAGGCCAAGATCCGCATGTCTGGAGTGAAGCACCGTGGCACGAATTTCTGTTGCTGTCTGTGCGGGGACGTGCTTGAAGTTCAGTCTAAGTTTCGCGGCCTCTGCTAACTCATGTTTTTCCGGAGCAGGTGGGGAGTGGTTCACCCGGTCAAGAAACAGATGCATGGGTCTAGTGTTAGGGATAAGGGATAAGGGATGAGGGTTAAGGGTTTAGGGAAGTTTTCAAGTGTTCTTGGTTCCCTCGTGGTTTGACCGGCGTTTCATTCGCCAGCTCAGACTTTCGGTATGCCCAAACTACTTACAGGATCATAGGACTTAGTAATTGGGGTTATAAGTACGGTAACTACAGCTATAATTACATATAACCTATGATCCTCCAAGTATGGCCCTTTCTCCTTGCTTGCATTTCTTCGTCAGCCTTGGGTTCGGGGAACATGCTCGGTGGTTGTTGAATACTATTATGAGGGTTCCTTATTATGAATATAGTATAACGGGCCCCAAAACCCTATTCTAATTATTAAGGCCCCTAGATTAGACACCTGTAAACAACACTGTCAGCTAAGGCAACAACATGTGCACATGCTTAATCGACTAACTTCAGTGCTCCGTTGGATGGATGCATCCGGACGGAGAGATGTGCCACACGATTTGCTACTGTCTCAAAGCTCGAAGACGTTTTGTAAAACACCGACGTAGATCGTCTCCTGCTTCTCCTGTTGGCAGCCGAGACTTGTTCTGGACTGTCTTCGCCGCACAGAAACCGAGCCGAAAACAAGTCAGCACCTGAAGCACTAGATTTTTTTGCCAGCCTGAGCTCCTAAACCCTAAACCCTGAAGCCCTAAGCCTTACACCCTAAACCCTAAACCCCAAAAGCCCTAAACCCTTCGAGCTGAACTGCATCTTCTCTTCCAATTTTCCTTAAACGTGCGCGAAGAGAGCCCAGCCCAGCCCAGCGGCAGCCCAGCCCAGCCAAAAAGCAGAAGCAAAAACCCTACATCCTAAACCCTGAACCCCTAAGCCCCTAAACCCTGAACCCTAAACCCTAAACCCTGAACCCCTAAGCCCCTAAACCCGGAACCCTGAACCCTAAACCCTGTATAAACCCTAAACCAATCGAAGGAGCCTCTCCGGTGCCGCTTGCTGGGGCCGACTTCGAAGGAGCCCTCTTCTTTCAACAGGTTGAGGGTTTAGAGGTTTAGGGTTCCTTAAAGGGATCTATAGGGGTTCCTTTAGGGTTTCGGTTTAGGGGTTTAGGGTTTTAGGGTTTGGGGGTTGGGGGTTCAGGGTACATGGTTTGGGGGTGTGGGGGGTTTGGGGTTTTGGGGGTTTGGGGGTTTGGGGGTTGGGGGTTTAGGGTACATGGTTTGGGGGTTTGGGTTTGGGGTATATGGTGTGCGCTTCTCTAAAAACAGGGGTGCACCCACTTATCGCGACCTTGTGTCAGCATGTAGTCCCAGGAACTGAAATGTGCAATGTTCGGATCGTGCTCCGGGCTCCCCTAAACCCTGAACCCTAAACTCTAAACCCTAAGCCCTAAACCCTAAACCCGGCTGCAACTCGTCATCTTACCTCCCGGCATCCTGCTCTCCGAGGTAGGCCTTCGGAGCATTCTAACATCTTTTCCCTTATTGGGCCGAAGAGGATCTCATCTCCGAATATCTTTACAGGGTCAACCTAGTCTCACTTCAGTACTCTTCGATTTTGTTGTGACTCGTGTTTCCACCTCCCCAAGTCTTGGTTTGGGGTTAGAGAATTCAGGGTTTTAGGGTGTAAGGTTTAGGGTTGAAGGTGTGCCCACCACTGTGGAGATTTGGACTCCTAAAGTTGTTTGGGAGTCCGTCGGGGTCATGGGGTTCCGGTGCCCAAACCCCGACACCTCAATCTCTTAAACTCTTAAACCTTGAACCCTAAACCCTAGAAGGGGCCCCCACCCTGTAATAGTGGTATAATAGGAATATAATAGGGCCCGAATATACTCCTTATAGTCACTATTACAGGGTGGGGGCAGCTCCTAACCTAAACCCTAAACCGGTTTTGCAGGGCTCTGTAAGGTTTATTCGAGTGGTTCTTGGGTTAGGTCGGGCTCGGGCTGCTAGGCGTGCTTTCACTGTCGGCGGTCGAGGCCTAAACCCTAAAAACCCCTAAACCCTAAACCTTCGCTTTCAAGCTGTATATGTAAACCCTGGGCACATGTTTCGTCACTTTGCCCCTGTTCTAGAGCGATTTTCGTCAGATTTTCGTCAAATCCGATCGTTCTCAAGCCGATTTTCGTCAAATCCGACCGTTCTCAAGCAGATTTTCGTCAAATCCGACCGTTCTCAAGCCGATTTTCGTCAAATCCGACCGTTCTCAAGTCGATTCTCGCCAAATCGTACAGATCCGACCGTTCTCAAGCCGATCTTCGTCAAATCGTACTGTTCTCAAGCTGATTTTCGTCAGTTCTCGCCGAATTTTCGTCAAATCCGACAGTTCTCAAGCCGATTGCTAGGGATCCCACAGGGTACATTTTTAGGGTATGTAGTAGGTAGATAAGGATCCCAGGGTTAAGGGCCCACCCACACTAGCGGCCCGTGGTTTCAGCCTTAGATCAGAAGGACTCTTAGGGGCCCTGAATACCTATAATAAGGACTTCACAAGACCTATTTAAGGAAGTAATGTCCCCTACGCCACCCCTCCCCGTTCCCCGCCTAATCGGAGGCCTCACAAGGTGGGATGAAGGTAGGTGGGATTAAGGATCCCTTATATAAGGACTCTTATTTGGGAATATCCCACCTACCTTCATCCTACCTTTTGAGGCACCCGGCCTGAGGGTCCCTATGATTTGTTGGTTTTCGGAGTTGGAGTCTGAGTTTGCTAGGCTTTCAAGGGCGTCCTCGCTCTGGCCTGCAGGAGAAGCCCCTGAAATTTGACATCATGGCCCTGAACCCTAAAGTTTAGGGCCTAAAACCCTAAACCCGCATTTCCTGAGCCTTTAACCTGAAACCTTGAACCTTGAGCCTTGAATGAACCCTACCCTAAACCCTAAACCCCAAACCCTTCCCAAAAAAAGAACCTTGAACCCTTAACCTCAAGCCCTGAGCAGGTCTATCATCCGTAGTTTGGAGCTTGCAGAGTCCGAGGTCTCGTTCGAGGACTCTGGAGAGTTGTTTCACGTGTGGGCCTAGGGTTTAGTTTAGGGTTCAAGGATGGATTTAAGGTTTAGGTTTAGAGTGTAGGGTTTACCTGTAGCCGAAAAGACCTGCCTTTTTCAGGAGCTATATACAGAAACCATAATAAGGAATACCCTAAAAAGGTAGGTCTTTTCGGCTACAGGTACTCAAAGGATCATGGGACTTAGTAAATAGGTTATGATTGGGGTTATAAGTCCCCTAAGTGGGGTTACCCTAATTATAACCTACTTATAACCTTACTTACTAAGTCCCCTGCCCCTCCAAGTAGGTTCAGCACCTCAAGATCGAACATCCACAGGGAAAGCTCGCTACACCGGTGCCGGAAACCTTCCCACCCAGCCAAGACACCCATATCCCTTAATTAAGGAATATACCTTAAATTATAGTAGGATCCCTAATATGATTTAAGGAATATTCCTTAATTAAGGGGTATTGGAGTCTCTGGGCAGCCAAGACACCCATAACGTTAGTGATCTATTTTAGTTCCCCGCTTACTGCAATTGCAGACTACACCACAACTATTTACATGCTAGGACAATCGAGTCATCATCAGTTTCCATCAAGGACTTGTGATCACCCCAACAGGCATCGAGACTAGTCGCTGCGTGGGCAGCAGCCCCCAGCGCACTCGGGTCAGTCCGGTGCGCTTCGGGTTTACTTGGAGGATCATGGGATTTAGTGAGTACGGTTATAAGTACCTTAATTAAGGCTGTATGTACTTATAACTGTAGTTTCATTACTTATAGCCCCCATTACTAAGTCCCATGATCCTCCAAGTAGCTTTAGGGTTTATGGTTAGGGCACCAGGCTTTCCAAGTTGAGCGTTTCAGGTTACAGGGTTTGGGGACAAAGGTTTAAGGTTCCTGGTCTAACATGGGGGCCTTAATAATTTCAATAGGGTTTTGGGGCCCATAATACTGTACTTATCGTAAGGAACCCCCAAAACCGTACGGGTAACTATTGAGGCCCCTATATTCCGGCTTTTAGGAATTAGTTGTTTCCGGGTGATGGGTTCGACGGCTGAATTCCAACACTCAGTCTTAAGCCAACCACAAACCTAACCCTAAACCCTAAACCTTAAACCCTCAACGCAAAAAAGGTGCTCAAAAAATAACCTAAACGCCAGATGCTCAAAACCGAAAGACCGAACGCCTTCAATCGCTTAATGTAGGGGCCTTAATAATTACCTATACTATTTTGGGGGTTCCTTATTGCAATTATAGTATAGTGGGCGCCAAAACCCTCTTTCTAGTTATAAAGGCCCCTGTACTAGCTCCGAGGCTTTCAAGCCGTAAATTCTCGTTCAAAGGATACTGCGCAGGACGAAGGTTCGTCGCATACGGAAGATCTATGTATGTAGACTTAGACTTCGCCATTTCTCTTCCCCGTCGACTCCTCCAAGAACTGCGTTCTTTGGGCCCGGAGGTTGCAAAGTCCTCGAACAACATTTTTAATGTTTAGAACTGCGTGTTATTGATCCGCGGGGCAGACCACCTAAAATGCACTTCCTTTTACTCTGCGCCCTCCATCTGCGAAGACAAGCAAACATGCCGAAACTGTCAGCCTGGTGATGTAATACCCTTTTACCCCTGCTCACAATGGACACAAAGAAACAGGGTATCCTCGTCGTTACAAATGGGATACTTGGGAACAGAGTATTTCCATAACCTTAAAAGTACCATTCTTGAAAACAGCCCTTGTAGAGCCGTCTTCAAGCCCTTCACCCTAAACCCTAAACCCTAAACCCTAAACCCTAAACCCATAAACCTTAAACCCCAAACCCATAAACCTTAAACCCCAAATCTTAAACTTGCGAACCACCGGGCTTCCGATCTTGGCGCCTCAGGGAAGCGCCAGCAACGCCATGGCCGATTACTTGGAGGATCATGGGACTTAGTAAGCAGGCCCTAAGTAGGCATACAAGTACCTCAATTGAGGTTATACGTAATTATAACTGTAGTTACCTTACTTATAACCCCAGTTACTAAGTTCCACGATCCTTCAAATACATGGGTCCGAAGGCACCATGAAGCAGATCTTGACCGTCGCGCAGCCTGCACAGGCCAGTACACACATGTCAAGCATGGGTGCGGACGGGGCCAAGCTGACCGTGAGCGTTCATTGCCTGGCAGGTTCCAGCTTTGAGCTGGAGGTCGATTCTGCTGAAACAGGGTGGGAAATAGCGGAACGAATCGCGGTCGGAGTTGGCCATCCCGCAGGTTTAATTGTGCTGACATCCGGTGGTTGCATCATCGATCAGAGCCAGATGCTGCTGCATCAAGTCCAGCACAACGAGATCTGGTACGTGGTGCAGAAGCTTGGCGCGGGTCGTGTTGCGATGCTTTGGGAGCACTTGTTTGAGAAGAAGACTCTTTCTAATGTAGCTGCCTTGAACGAGACGATGTCACTACATGCGTTCAACCAGAGCTTGAATGGCATCCAACTACCCAGCAGCCTGCAGAACTTGACGCTTGGCATCGAGTTCAACCACAGCTTGGAGGGCATCCAGCTACCCGACAGCCTGCAGAGTTTGGAGCTTGGCTACGAGTTCAACCAGAGTTTGCAGGGCATCCAGCTGCCCAGCAGTCTGCAGAACTTGACGTTTGGTGACCAGTTCAACCAGAGCTTGGAGGGCATCCAGCTACCCGACAGCCTGCAGAGTTTTGGAGTGCAGGGCATTCTACGAGTTCAACAGAGACAGCCTGCAGGGGAGCAAGCTACCCAGCAGCCTGCAGAACTTCAACCAGAGCGCTTGCGACCAGTTTCAACCAGCATCCAGCTACCCAGCAGCCTGCAGAACTTGACGTTTGGCGCCAAGTTCAACCAGAGCTTGAATGGCATCCAACTACCCAGCAGCCTGCAGAGTTTGACGTTTGGCACCTGTTTCAACCAGAGCTTGGCGGGCATCCAGCTACCCAGCAGCCTGCAGAACTTGACGTTTGGCGCCAAGTTCAACCAGAGCTTGAATGGCATCCAACTACCCAGCAGCCTGCAGAGTTTGACGTTTGGCACCTGTTTCAACCAGAGCTTGGCGGGCATCCAGCTACCCAGCAGCCTGCAGAACTTGACGTTTGGCGCCAAGTTCAACCAGAGCTTGAATGGCATCCAACTACCCAGCAGCCTGCAGAGTTTGACGTTTGGCACCTGTTTCAACCAGAGCTTGGCGGGCATCCAGCTACCCAGCAGCCTGCAGAACTTGACGTTTGGCGCCAAGTTCAACCAGAGCTTGGAGGGCATCCAGCTACCCCACAGCCTGCAGAGTTTGGAGTTTGGCTACGAGTTCAACCAGAGCTTGGCGGGCATCCAACTACCCAGCAGCCTGCAGAGTTTGGAGTTTGGCTACGACTTCAACCAGAGCTTGGCGGGCATCCAGCTACCCAGCAGTCTGCAGACTTTGAAGAAGTTTGGCACTTGTTCCGACCGGAGCTTAGATGGCATCCAACTACCCGACAGCCTGCAGAACTTGGCGTTTGGCGGCCAGTTCAACCAGAGCTTGGAGGGCATCCAGCTACCCGACAGCCTGCAGAGTTTGGAGTTTGGCTACGACTTCAACCAGAGCTTGGCGGGCATCCAGCTACCCAGCAGTATGCAGACTTTGAAGAAGTTTGGCAGTTGTTCCGACCGGAGCTTAGATGGCATCCAACTACCCGACAGCCTGCAGAACTTGGCGTTTGGCGACCAGTTCAACAAGAGCTTGGAGGGCATCCAGCTACCCGACAGCCTGCAGAGTTTGGAGTTTGGCCACGACTTCAACCAGAGCCTGGAGGGCATACAACTACCCAGCAGCCTGCAGAACTTGACGTTTGGCGACCAGTTCAACCAGAGCTTGGAGGGCATCCAGCTACCCGACAGCCTGCAGAGTTTGGAGTTTGGCTACGAGTTCAACCAGAGCTTGGCGGGCATCCAACTACCCAGCAGCCTGCAGAACTTGGCGTTTGGCTACGACTTCAACCAGAGCTTGGAGGGCATCCAGCTACCCGACAGCCTGCAGAGTTTGAAGTTTGGTTACGAGTTCAATCAGAGCTTGAATGGCATCCAGCTACCCGACAGCCTGCAGAGTTTGGAGTTTGGCTACGAGTTCAACCAGAGCTTGCAGGGCATCGAACTTCCCAGCAGCCTGCAGAGTTTGGAGTTTAGTGGCGATTTCAACCAGAGCTTGGCGGGCATCCAGCTACCCAGCAGCCTGCGAAGGTTCCTCTCACGCAACCTGTGTGTACACACGTGGTGAGCAGTGATGTCCTGCTTTGGCATCCTAGTCCGGGGCAACTGGGTCGAATGTTGCGGCTTCTTCTGGGCCTGCTTTGGTTCCTGATGGACGTCCTACAGCAGCTGTTCGTCGTCGTCAGGGCAACTGGTATCGACGTCGCCGCTCCTTCCTGACCCCCAATCCAGCTTGACTGTTCCAGAGGTTGAATAAGCAGGAAACCCAAGTGGGTGGTTGTCAATATCAGGGTCCCTTTTCGGGTCCTTATTATCATACGGCACCTAATATTTAGGGTACCCCAAAAAGGGACCCTAATTTAGACAACCACGCAAGTCTTGCTGCCTGCAGAGTGATAAACAGCCTGCGGGTTGGTTTGGGCACAGGCCGTCAAGGTGCACCCTAAGCCCTAAACCCTAAACCCTGCTTCCATGAAGCGAGCGCTGGACCAGAGCTGCGGAGAAAGGGCTACTGCATCTTAGCACCACGCCCTAGATTTCTGCTCGCCATGCCAGGAGGCCGTCTGCGCTGCTTTCCGTACCTTCGATTCCGACGGATCTGGATTTCTCACGTCAGAGCAGCTGCAGGAGATGTGGGCGTAGATTAGCCAGGCTGTTCAGTGGTACACTTTTTCACTTTCAGGTTTCTGGGTTCCTATTATAAAAAAGTATATACATTTTCCCAGTGGGTTACTGAACAGCCTAGTTAGTGTTGAGGGTTTGGGGTTTAGTGCTCCGGGTTTGAGGAGTTTGGATTTTCAGAAATCAGGAGTGCCTAGTTTATTCGGGGTCCCTATTCGAAGATCCCTGCGTTGGATCCTATACTGGGGTTTGGGGTTTCAGAGAGCGACGAAGCCTGAATAATAGGATCTGCATCACAACTTAAGACATTAGACAAGGACTCCGCAAGTTTTCAGAACCTCCCCCCTCCCATTTGGGCGTGTCGTAGAACTACGTGTGCCTTGTTAGGGGTTCTTATAATGCGGATCCCCATTTGTAGGGTTCTACAATAGTGGGGTTCGTGATTTTATGAAACTCCCATTTTGCAGTGCTGAGGGTCTTCTAGGCCTTTGTAGGTTGAGGCGTTCGGGGATTGGGATTCAGGGTTCAGGAGCTCAGTACATTAAAGGATTAGGCTTCTAGGGGTTTGGCGGATCTAAGAGTTTGAAGATTTATCGTCCTGGGTTCGGACTTAGTAAGTACTGTAAGGTTTAGGGTTCCTTTTAAAGAGGGTGCTATAGGGTTCTATAATGGGGTTCCTTAAAGGGGTTCCGGCGTTGGGTTTAGGGGCTTGGGGATGTGGAGGTTTGGCGGGTTCGGTGACTTGGGTTTTGATGTCTACGGTCCAGGTTGTTAGAATGGTGATCTCAGGATGGTAGTAAAGGCTCTTCGCCAAAGCGCTACACCCTAACTGCTTAAGCCCTAAAAATGTAAGCCCTAAACCCAAAACTAAGCCCTAAACCCTAAATTTCCAACCCTAACTGTAAACCCTAAACCCTGGACTAAGCCGTAAACCTGAGACCATAACCGTTCAAACCCTGAACCCTTACACCATAAACTTGCAAACCCTAAACCCGGTCCTAAACTAGGATGCCCAGTAGTACCCTTATTCCCTTTTTTGCAGTCCTAGGTTCCGTATAAAGTTGCCCAAAAAGAGAGGCCTTTTTATTCTTAGGTTACTGGGTATCCTAGTAATTAAACCATAAACCCTCGACCGATAGCGGTCCCAGCGTCTTGTCTCCCTGGTTCTTAGTGGGGCAGGGGGGATGGATCCCTATGATGGTCCCTTATGGTAGTTCCTATAGCCCATTTCCCCCACTACCGACTAAGAATCAGTTTTTTTTTTTTTGGGGGGGGGAGGGGGGGGGGGGACGGGGGGTGTATTATATTATAAGTTTCACAAGGAACCCCTCCAAAATGGGATTGGTAACTATTTAGGGTTAAGGTTCCCTAAACTCTACACCCTAAACCCCAGACCCCTAAACCCTAAACCCCAGACCTCCAAACCCTGAACCCTATATGAGGATGCTATGTCGAGCCTGGGCCTTCAGCTGGACACAGCGGCGATCGAGGAGATGATTAACGAGGCGCCCTAAACCCCTAAACCCTAAAGCCTGCACCCTAAACTCCTAAAGCCCTAATGTAGGAATCCGATTAAGAAACCTTGGGTCTCTATCAGGGTTCTTTCTATGAAGCCTACTAAATTGGGGTTCTAGGCCCAGGGTTTCTGAATCAGGTTCCTACATGAAGCCCTTAACACAAAAACCCCTGAACCTCTCAAGCCCGAAAGCTCCAAATCCCTAAGCTTTAGGCCCAGAGACTCCAATATCCCTTAATAAAGGATTGTTCCTTAAATCATATTAGGGGTCGTAGTATAATTTAAGGTTTTTCCCTTAATTAAGGGAGATTGGAGTCTCTGGGTTTAAGCCCTCAGCCCTAAAATCCTAGACTTGCTCTCACCTAGACTTAGCAGGATCATCGGACTCAAGAAGCAGAGTGCGATCTTGCCCAGATCTGTTTGTGTGGGGACCGAAGGTTTAAGTTTTAGGGTTTATAGTAGAAGCCAGAAAGTTGGAACATCAGACTCCTCATGCCCTTAAGGTAAAGTATAAGGGATCCTAGCACTAATCCTCCTAAAGCCATGTTCCAACTTTCTGGCTTCTACTGTAGGGATGTTTAGGGTGTTTCGGCTTCGAAACTGTACTTGCAGGATCATGGGACGCAACGCGTAGCTAGAAACCTAAACAGTGGAAGCCCAGATGTGTTACTTGCCCTGGTCCATCCCTAAACTTCCCTCCTTGAAGGATCATGGGACTTAGTAATTGGGGTTATAAGTAAGGTAAGCACAGTTATACTTACTTATGACCCCAATTGAGGTACTACCCTACTTAATATTAATAAGTCCCATGATCCTCCAAGTAGAAAGCTCCTGTATAATGAACCAGTCAAATTCTCTCGGATCCAGGAGTGGGGGTGTACTTGAAGGATCATGGGACTTAGTATGTAAGTTTGTAAGTACCTTAGTTGGGGTTCTAAGTACTTATAGCTGTAGTTACCTTACTTAGGACCCCAATTGCTAAGTCCCATGATCCTGGAAGTAGGATTTATGGCTTCGGAATGAGGGCTTGTGGGCTATATACGGTTTTTCGCGAATGAACCAGAGTTTGTTTGGTGGTTCGGCGTTTCTGGGCTTCGAGATACCGAACCAGAGCCCAGCCAGAGGAACCCTTCTTCAACCGTCGCTCTGTAGGGTTTAGGGTTTAGGGGTTTAGGGTTTAGGGTTTAGGGTGTAAGCCGAAGACCGTGCAAAACCGGAATCGGCAGCAAAGGGAATTTCGTGAGCAATGGTCACATGGAAGCCGTAGTCATTTAAGTACCTATCACTGGTAGCCACTACTCCTGCTGCTGCTACTTCTACTGCTACCTCTGCTGCTGCTACGACTACTACCACTACTATTGGTACCAGCACGTGCTAGCACTGTACTTCTAATGAATGATAACAATGGTGAAGAACCGCAGTATCAATAACAACGGCAATGAGCTTGATTGGAGCATCGAGCCCTGACGAATCTTGGTCGCGAGTTCGCCAGAAGCGTGTATCGTGGGACCAAACGACTGAAATCCATGGTGACATGCGGCTTCATGCACGGCCCTACTTGGAGGATCATGGGATTTAGCAAGTAGGATTACAAGTACCTGAATTGTGGTTAGTTCTAAGTAATTAATTACAACTGTAGCTACCTTACGTATGACCCGAATTACTAAGTCCCATGAAGAATAAGTAGACACTAAACCCTAAACCCCTAAACCCTAGACCCACCCTAAACGTGGGAGAAGACAGCACCAGGCAGATGGATTCCGTGAGCTCTCAAAGCAGACCCAGAACTCGCCACTCTAGAAGCCTGAAAAATGACTAAGTATTTCTTGGGGTTATCTTATTGTGACCATACTATGTTACACTTCCAAACCTCATTCTGATGGAGTTTCCTGCATTCATTGCGAACTTCGCTCGTAGGCGTTTAGGGTCTGGGATTAGTAAGTATGGTTATAAGTATCTTACTTGGGGTTATAAGTATAGTTACCTTAATAATGGCCATAATTACTGAGTCCCATGATTAGGTTTTGGAGGCTTCGGGCTTATGGCTTACAGTTACAGCAATTATGGTTTTGGGGCTGGGCATCTGGGGGTTAGGGCTGACAGAGCGCTTAAGGGCAGTCCATGGTTTCGTGTGTAGGGAGACAAGGTGTGTTTAAACCTTCAGCCGTAGAGTTGAGGGTTATAGGCTTGGCCGCCTTGGCCCCCTGAGCCCTACTTGGAGGGGCAGGGGACTTAGTAAGTAGGTTATAAGTAGGGTTAGAACTGGGGTAACTCCTTTTAGGGTACTTGCAACTCTACTTATAACCTACTTACTAAGTCCCCTGCCCCTCGAAGTAAACCTGTATCCGGGACCTCCCGTCCCATGCTTGGGAGATCCGAATACCCCAGAGGTAGACCCGTCGCAGGAGGTTTGTTCAACAATCGTGGCGACTTAGACTCATAAGCCTGGAAGTCTATTTTGCTACGGACCCCGATGAAATAGCCCCGCCCAGAACTCCGCAATGTCAAGGGACCCTTAATATTGGAGACTCCCACTTTGGTGGCATGACCTGCATATCGGAGAGGCCGAGCAAAACGGCGATGGTGTGATCGATTACATGGACTGCCAGGGGGGGGGTTTTGGGAGGGCGGCTCTCACGAAAGTACCCAGACCTTTCAATATCACTTACTTCAGAAATATACCGTGAATCATGATAGAGGTCCTACTATACTTTAAAGTATATTCCTTAATCAAGGGATATTGGTAGGTCTGGGTATACAAGCTTGTCATATTAACAGAGGTTTAAACATGACAAAGCACGCCTTCAAGTCCAAGCCCTGAGAATCTGCAGCCCCGAAGACAAAGGCATACAAGCGGAACGTGTTGAGGCTTCATGTAGGGCTTCAGTATGTTTGGGCAGGAGCCTCTAAACCGCGAATGCGCACTAAACTCTGCACCTCAAGAGCCATAAACCCGACGAAGACACTGAAGCTTACAGCACTGAGCCCTAAACCTAACACCTTAAACCCTAGACCTTAAGCCTTAAACCTTAAGCCTTAAACCTTAAGCCTTAAACCTTAAGCCTTAAACCTTAAGCCTTAAACCCTAAACCGACTTACAGCTTCAGCCCCAAACCTTAAACCACAAACCATACAGCTGAAACACAAGACCTCTAAACCCACTAAACCCTGAAGGGACTTAGTAAGTAGGTTGTAAGTAGGGTTATAGCTGGGGTAGCCGCATTTAGTGTACTTATAGCTCTACTTACAACCTACTTTCTAAGTCCCCTGCCCCTCCAAGTAGACCCTAAACCCTAAACCCCATAGATCCCTTTAAGAGGAACCCTATAGATCCCTTTAAGGAGCCGTTTAAGAACCCTTACTAAGTCCCCTGCCCCTCCAAGTAATCCAGCATGCACCGTAAGTTGTGCAGGCTGACATATGTGCCGCACCAGAAAGAAGCCACTGCACTTAAACAAAAATCCTAATCCAAAACGCCCTACCCAGAGACTCCAATATCCCTTAATTAAGGAATATTCATAAATTATAGTAGGATCCCTAATATGATTTTAAGGAGTATTCCTTAATTAAGGGATATTGGAGTCTCTGGGTAATCCACTATGCCCTGAGAACCAGCTAGGAGTTTCTGGCTGCCTGCCTCTCGCCGGCGACAGGTCTTTGCTCGGGCTTGGTGTTTTGGGTTCAGAACTGATGGTTTAGTTACAGAGCTTGCTTGGTGGACCTTGGGAGGGTTAGTACGTTTTTCAGAGGGGGCTTGTTATAAGTTTCTCAACCAGAAGATGTTTCATAGTTTTGTTTTACGTGCATCTGTATAGGCTGTTATATGTTTTGTTTAGGGTTTCCCCCAAAGTGAAGGTGACTTACTTGGGTGTCTTTTATTACTTCCGGACTTAGTAAGTAGGTTATAAGCAGGGCTATAACTGGGGTAACTCCATTTGGGGTACTTACAACTCTACTTATAACCTACTTGCTAAGTCCCCTGCCCCTCCAAGTAGACCCTAAAACCTGAACCCCACAGATCCCTTTAAGAAGAACCCTATAGTAGGCCCTGTAGATCCCTTTAAGTAGCCCTTTAAGATCCCTTACCTCCAAGTACGGATGCTGCAAGCTGTTTAGGATTCATGTTAGGGTCACGCCAGAATGCGTCGTTTACGTTGCAGGAACCGCGATTGGACGCGAGGTTTCGTGGAACAGAAAGAGTGCTTCTACATAGCTATAGTTGCCTTTGTGGTACAGATATATTCCAGAAGCCCCAAAAAACCCCAAGGTGAATCCAAACCCCAAACTCCGAAACTCTCGACCCCAAAACTCCTCCGTTAATGTAGGGGCCTTAATAATTAGAGTGGGGTTGGGGGGTATAGTATACTCTAACTATAACAAGCAACCACCAAAACCCTATTCTAATTATTACTTAAAGGATCGTGTGGACTTAGTAATCGGGGTTATAAGTACGGTAACTACAGTGATAATTACGTATAACCCCAATTAAGGTACTCATAACCCTACTTACTAAGTCCCATGATCCTCCAAGTAAGGCCCCTACGTTAAGTTCTCAACGTCCGAACGCCGAGGCAAAGTCCCCGACAACCATCCGTCGGCCCAGCGAATGAGCAGCAAGATCAAGGTCGGGGGGTTGTCAAAATTAGGGCCCCTTTTTGGGTACCCTAGATAATCGGTGCCGTATTATAATAAGGACCTAATTTTGATAACCTCCGAGGTGGAGTTTGGGGTTTAAGGGTGCTTGGAATTGGGGTTAAGGGCACCAGGTTTAGTTTTTAGAGTCCAGGGTGTTAGGGTTTATTGCTTAGGGTTTTGGGGTGTAGGGTTTGGGGTTGTGGGTTTTAGTTGAAGGATACCTGTAAGGGATAGACCGGGGACACTTAAGGGTTCCATAAGGGTTTTTAAAGGCTTCTCGTAAGGGTTTTTGACATTAGGCCATAGTGCCACATCTATTGTTTCGGGTTGGGGTTGGGGACGTGTTTTGCTCTCCAGTAACTCGAGGTTACCTTTGCGTTTTCAGCAGCGCGGGTGATGGGGGGGATGATGGTGCTGACAGGGATTGATATTTTAGATAGTTCTCGTTACTGAAATACTGCAAGCCCGCGTCGAAGAGAAGTATATCCGGAGAAGAGGAGTCCAACGTCAACCTTCAAAAGGTCTCTGGCGGTCTCTCTTCTGGAAAAGTCTTTGGACTTGCAGAGCGGGACACAGTCGGTCAAGAGATTCCTTGGGGAGGCTGCTCTGGCCGAGAACCAATACCGTGCTCAACATTGTAACGGATTGGAACCTGCAAGCTGCGATCAAGCTCAATGTCTCTGTAGGAGTTCTGGACTGCAACACCGTATTTCGAGGCCTTGAAAGACACCGAAGTTCGAAACCGCACGGTGTCAAGAGGCCCCTCGAACAGCTCGTCCGGGTTGAAAGCCTTCGGCTTGCGAGACCCTCTCAAGCTTTGGACATTGAGCTTGATCGCAGCTTGCAGGTTCCAATCCGTTACAATGTTGAGCACGGTATTGGTTCTCGGCCAGAGCAGCCTCCCCAAGGAATCTCTTGACCGACTGTGTCCCGCTCTGCAAGTCCAAAGACTTTTCCAGAAGAGAGACCGCCAGAGACCTTTCTCGGCGAGAAAAAAGCTTCTCCACCGATCCCTGGATCCTTCGATGGCGCAACGCGAGCAGTCAGACAAGCCTGGTCTGAGGGCATTGTCAGGCAGTGGTTGAAGTATCGTCACTTCTGAACATGGTTACACCCCAAAATAAGTGGGCGCCGAAGCTAAACTTACCTTGTTTGCAGGTCTCCAGACAGAGAGGTAACGCTGGGTAGGATTTTTACATCTTGAGAGTTTCCGAAAATTCAGGGTACTTTATTTTGGGGTCCTTATAATCAGGATCGTACTATTTGGGGTAGTGCATTGGAGTTCCCCCGTTTTCGGAAACTCCCATCTTGGTGGAATCTCTGGTCCTTCAGCGGTTTGCGCTGTGGTCGTTCACTGTTTGTCGCTTGTGCTGGGGTCCTAACTCCTCCACACTTGCAGGGTCATGGGACTTAGTAATAGGGGTTATGAGTAAGGTAACCACAGTTATAATGACTTACAACCCCAATTAAGGTACTTATAGCCTTACTTACTAAGTCCCATGATCCTCAAGGATTGCTTTGAGCTCTTGCACGGTTTTGGGGTTTAGGGTTTGCGTTTTTCCACAGCCCGAAAAGGGAGATGGGAGCTTTTGTTTCAATAGGAAGGCTTTGTTTCAATAGGAATGCTTCTGGTCAGGAAGCTGTTTCAGAGCGTTCGGTCTCAGGTTTTGAATGTATTTCTGGAGCAGTTGATCTGCGCTTGTTTGTGCTGTTATGGTTCGGTGCAGCATAAAGCCGTCGGACAATTAGTAAACAATATCAGCTCATAGTCTATAGTCTATATACAGTTGTGCTAGAATACACACCAACGTCCTGTTGGAATTGTTAAGTTGCCTATATATGTCGAGCCTCCAACAATCCTATAAAGCCTGAGTAAAACGCTACAGTATAGTGCTCGTAAAGACCCCTGAACACCCCCTTCAAAAACCCCTTTCGGATTGTGAAGGCCCCTTTAGCCCGGAAAGGAAGCCTCCCGCAGTGCTTGAAAGATCATGGGACTTAGTAATTGGGGTTATAAGTAAGGTAACTACACTTAGAGTTACTTATAACCCCAAGTAAAGTACTTATAACCGTACTTACTAAGTCCCATGATCCTCCCACAGTGGGCATGCTGGGCCCCGAAACTTCAACCCAACCTGTGCCTCGATATTCGGTTTAGGGTTTAGGGTTTAAGGTTTTGAGCTTACCTAAAGGATCATGGGACGTAGTCATTGGGGCTATAACTAAGGTAACTATATGTATAATTGCTTATAGCCCTAGTTACGGTACTAATAACCATGCTTATTAAGTCCCATGATCCTCCAAGTAGGGCTTGGGTACTCCTTATGAACCGAATATCGGAGCTTGGATATCTGGCATGATGAACCCTTGAAGTTTCGCCAATTCTGTTCTCAGAGACTCGAATATCCCATAATTACGCAATATTCCTGAAATCATAGCGGGATCCTGCTACAATTTAAGGTGCATTCCGTCATTAAGGGATATTGGAGTCTCTGGGTTGAGGTTTGTAAAAAAAGGGAGTTTGTTAATCTACTATAGGGGCCTTAACAATGACATATACCATTCCTCATTATAGTTATAGTATAATACTCCCCCAAAAGTCTATCTAATTGTTAAGGCGCTCTATAGTACATCATACGAGGCCTATGGCTTGAGCCGAAGCAGGCCAACTTGGTAAACCTACACCCCTAAACCCAAAGGGTTTAGGGTCTAAGGGTTTCGGGTTTAGGGGTTTAGGGGGTGTAGGGGTTTAGGAGTTTAGGGGTTTAGGGGTTTAGGGTGTGGTAACGTTATGGGTGCTCGCTGGTGTGTGCACACCCAGGCCGCTCGCACTTGTGCGTGGCAGACAGCCCACCCCTGGGGTTTAGTTCTTACATCTTCTAGGCATTTCAGCGGGGGCTTGGACATCACCGACGGGGGCCGTTACTTTCAACGGTGCTCAGGCAGGATCGAAAGCAGCACCGTGAAGGGTTGGGGGGTCCCATCCTTGTCCCTCTGGGGAGCCGCTCCAAATCGTGAAGGGTTGGGGGGGCTATCCTTGTCATTTTGGGAAGCCAATCCAAGTCGTGAAGGGTCCGGGGGTCCAATCCTTGTCCTTTTCGGGAGCCGGTCCAAATCGTGAACGGTTGTGGGGTCCCATCCATGTCCTTTTGGGGAGCCGTTCAGATCATGAAGGGTTGGGGGGCATCCTTGTCTTGTTGGTGGCCGCTCCAAATCGTGAAGGGTTGGGGGGTCAAACCCTTGTCGAAAGGATGTGCCTCGTGTCCAGGTTTCTGCCTTTAACCACCCCGTGGGAGGTGCCCGAGAAGCCGGCATGCATGGTGCCAGTCGCCTAGCTTCACCTAGGCTCCGCGTACGCGTTTTCTGCCGCTCGCGAAGCTCGGGCCGCTTCGGGCTCCGCGGTGGCGGTTGTCGAGCCCTCAGCGAAGACTTGAGGGTTTAGCTGGCCCCTAAACACTCAAACTCCGAACCCTTAAACCCGAAACCCGGAAATGTAGAGGATCTGGCCCCGGCTACATCCTAATTTTTTAAACGCTGAAGGCTGAAACCTGAGCTGCAAACCTTATCGGGATCCAAATAGCTTACCTTCTCAAGGACTTATAGTATATTAATATAAGGAGGTCATAATAAGGAACCCTAAGAAGGTAGGACCTTAGGATCTTTCGGGTCCAGGTCAACTCTAAATGCGACCTTTGAAAACTGGACAGGAAGGGTTTCGATTTTTTCTCTTGAGGGCATTCCATGCCAACAGAGACAAACTGACAGACACACCCTGAATGCTAGACCCTACACCCCAGACCCTAAACTGACCGCCAGAAAATGCCTTCCACGCGCTTTGCCAGCCAATCGTATGATCTGCTGGTGTTAGGCCGGGGGTTCACAGTTTATGGGGGTTAGCAGTTTAGGGCTTGGGGGTTTGGGGTGTAGGGTTTAGGATTCAGGGCTTTGGGGTTTTAGAGGTTTCGGGGTTTGAAGCTTGTTGTGTTGCAGACTTATTCGGCTTGTAAATCCGAGGGACCAGTTGTCATTCGAACTGTTTGTTTTTTTGAAGAGCTGAATCCGGGAGTTTGGGCTCAACCGCGACCTGGGGGTGCACAAATTCCGGGACCACTTTGCGACTGGAGCTCAGAGGCTCCAAATCAGCTTAGCATTGCCAAGAAACGCAACGACATGGTCACGGAGAATCTTCCGAAGACCCACGGCAGCCCCAAAGCAGACCCCATATCAATAGATCACAGGTATTAGCATGAGCATGAACCCACAACAGCACGAAACTTGACATTCTAGAATTTCAGATGTTGGAGTTCGAAGCTATATACCGAAGCCCAAAGCCCCGAAGTTCAAGCTCAAAATCCAATAAGAGCCTGAAGCGTCCACAAAAATAAACCTAAGCCCTCAAAAAGAAACAGCTGAAGATGTTAACCCTGAGCCCACAAAAGCCCCAAGCCTTTAAACACCAAAACAACAAAGCCTCTAAACCGGAGAAGTTTTAAACCCTGCACTCAAGATCTTCAAACATGAAATATCAAGGGCCCCCTTGATATTGAGACGATACTGGGGAACCACGCCCAAGCAGTTCGAAGAGCACCCCTGAATCATCAAAGCTCTAGAACACCAAAAACCTTTGTAACCTCAACCAAGCCTTTTGCCCCACACCTTAACCCACACCCTGAATTCCTGCAAATTCCTAAGCCTCGCAACCCCTTGAACCGCTCAGCTTCAAACCCCACCGAAAACCCTAAACCCCTAAACCTTGAACCCTAAACAACTAAACCCCGAAACCCTAAACCCCCAAGATTTTAAACTCCCCAAACCCTAAATCCTAAACCCCTAAACCCCTAAACCCTCAACAACTAAACCCTAAACCTCAAACACCCAAAACCTTAACCCCTAAACCAGCGCCTCAAGAGAAGCCTCTCTTTTTCGGAGGCGCCGGCCCCGCGGGCGTGAAGGCCGCCCTCGAGGCGCCCTGGGGGGGGGGGGGGCTTGGATTTTGAAGCTATTTTTTTGAAAAAGAAACAAGAACCAGCCAGATTTTGATTTCTTGCTAAAAAAAGAAACAAGCAGCGTTTTATTGTTGAAGTTATCAGCAGGGTTTAGTTGATTTCAGGTTTTTTTGGGATTGTTTAGGTTCGTGGCAGTGGGATCAGGGTTGAAGGATGGTCTGAGCTTTAAGGTTTCAGGCTTCGGTAGGGTTTAGGGTTTAGGATTCGGATTTGGGGGTCAGGAGTTTGCTCCTGCGAGTTTGTTTTTGGGGTTCGGGGTTTAGCAATAGGGTTTCGGTCGGGGTTGATGGGGTTTTAGATGCTTAGCCTCTTGCTTCCTGAAGATCAACCTGTTTTGTCCCAGGTGATGCGTTGAACACCTAGTTTCTCAGATTTTAATTTGTATCAGATTGGGATAGTTTTCGTCCCTTGCGCTGGCTACACAAAGAACCCTAAACCAGAAGAAGTCCAAAACTGTACTTAAAGGATCATGGGAGATAATATTTGGGGTTATAAGTGAGGTTATATTTACTTATAACCCCAACTCGGGTAGATATAACCCTACTTACTAAGTCCCATGATCCTCCAAGTATTGCTTCTCCGAGGCTTCTTCGAAGGGCTGTAGGGTTTTAGGGCACGGCGAAGAGCGTGCAGTTGGCTTTCCTGCGGCACTAGGCGCGCGTATGTTGCAGCTGATGCTGATGATGCTGACCCTCGCTGGGCAATTGCAGAGGCTGATGCGCATGATGCTGGCCTAGATCGGGCAGGCAGTGCTGGCCTAACACCATTGGCAGCCAACACCTAGGCTTGATGGTTTAAGCTTCAATACAGGGCCGGTTGGGAAAGTGTGGCGCCAACTTGCTTCGAAAAGAGCACGACAGCTGATGCGCATGATGCTTGCCATGATGGAGCGGAAGGTGGACTGAAGGCAACTGATGCCCATGATGTCGGCCATGGTTTGGCAGGATGTGAAAGTTAGTGGAGCTGATGCGCATGATGCGAGGCTCAGTTCTTTCAGCGAGAACAGCTGATGCTGAACCCGGAACCCTAGACCTGAAACTTCAAGCTCCATATACTGCCAGATTGATCAGCGATGTTGCTAGCGTGGCTACAGAGCAGACAAGACAGCTGATGCTCATGAATGCTGGCTCCAGCTCAGCGACCCAGCGGAAGTACGACAGGCAGGCCAAGCCTCATCATGCATGTGTGAGGTGCTTGGGGGAAGACTTACCTTTGGTTAGTAGGGAATGGAAGAATGGCAGTAATCGTAGTTATAGTGGTACCCCATTCCTCCATTCCCTGCTAACCAAAGGTAAGAAGAACGGAACTAGACGTACCTCTCGTCCGGTGCATGGCCGATCGGCAGTTTCCTGCTCTCCCAGAGAAGCCCATTTCAGGGGGACTAGGCTCCCTGATATTGGCATCATTAGACTCTCATCCGGGACTTGTTGCGGGCATTAAGATCATTAAGGCCGCCCCTTAGCCTTACGCCCCCAAAAGGGTCCTCATTAAGGACTCTAGTGCATCTTGGATCACGATTCAAGTGCCTTGTGCTATGAGGCATTAGTTAGTGGAGCCTTAGACTTAAGCCTGCACGATTAACCTCTGAAAGCACCGAGTCCCAAGTCCTTCTTCATCATCCGCTGCCTTGAGTTGCAAAAGCGGCCCAAGCTTTGTACACATCATGAGCGGATCATCCATCGCGGCCTCAGGGTTTACTTTGTTTGCTCTTCTGTCCAACAAGGGCTATGATTTTGCGTGCGGTGCCCTAGTTTAGGCTTGGGGACGTTTGTTTGATTGTTTGGAATCAGACTCCAAATCCCAAATCCCTATGTGTCCCTTGCAAAACTTCATCTTCAACTGGCAAGTCAGAGATTTACCAGGAATCATCGCACAATTTCCCAAACCTGAATCCCAAACCCAAGCAGTTAACAGCATCGATGTCACCTCCCAGCCGCCAGCCCAAGACTAAAACTGGAATTCCCACATTCCCGGCATCAACCCTGGCAAAACAGGGGTCCGAACAACGAGCAGCAATATTCCGGTACAGCCTGCTTTATACCGCTGTTCCTCAATATGCACTAGTACCTTCATCTAGTATTTAATGCACCGCATTGCCCAACATCCTGACCAAAAACCCGAAGCAGAATTGGGCCGAGGCTGCCGGACGTGGCTACAAAGTGGGTGTGGTGGAGCCGAAGGTGGGTGTAGGGGTTTAGCATTTAGGACCCAGAGACTCCAATTTCCCTTGTTTAGGGAACATTCCCTTAATCATACTAGGGATCCTGCTTTGATTTAAAGAATATTCACTTATTAAGGGGTTTCTGGGGATTTAGAGGGAGGCAAGGGCTTTTTGCTTGCAAGCCGTTAGGTTTTAGAGCGCAGGGGCTTTACATGAGCAGCACCAGCAACAGCAAGACGCAGCAAAGACGATAACCGACACGCGTATCAGGATCAATGGTCTTAGCTGTCGTCATACTGAATGCCAGCATCGCCGATGTTTGCGGCAGCAGCAGCAAACTCCACGTAAACTCAACTCTGATCCCTGCTATGGTCACCACGAAGAGTTTGTCCAGGGTTCGCAGCATCTTCTGCAGGAGTGCCTGACCGGGGCGCCCACGGGTGCTCACTCCAAATGCATGCGGGAGTCGGTGATGGAAATGAAGGCGCTGGCTTGTGCATGTTATTTCGCGACGGTTTAGGGCTTAGGGTTTGTCATGCAAATGAAGGCACTGGCTTGTGCAAGTTATTTCGTGGCCAGGAGAGTTCGATCTAGAGAGAGATATACTTAGCAGGAGGCGCTGTGCCAGCATTGATGGTGGTGACCGTCGAAAACACTAGCATGCTTTATGATAGCAGCAGATAGCACGGACTCGATGCACTGATGAAGAAACACTCCTGGAATCCTAAGACTAGTGAAGTTTTCAGAGGTTAGGAAGATTACGAACTCAGAATGTCGGAATTGGGGCTTTTCGCGGAGGAAAGCCAGCCTACACCCTAAACCCTAAATAAACCCTCTAAGCTCCCACACCCACACAAAAAGCAAAAAGGGAGCAAACCGTACATCCTGAACCCTAAACCCAAAGAAAGCTCACAGGTGACCTGGGTTTGGAGTACCATACTTGAATACTTTCTTTGGTACCTGTTCCTTGGAGGAACCATTACAAAACAACAGTCTATACTTTTTTCTCCCTGGTTACTTCAAAGTCCAGGTGACTTGGCCCGAGATTCGGACGATGATCTCGCGAGTGACTGCAGATGCTCAGGCCAATGCCGCAAGCCGCTGGGATGGCAGGGCAACACCCCAAACTCTAATCGGGACTTTTTCAGGGTACTACGGTTGATGATATAAATCCTGCATGACCTTAAGGACCCTAAACTATGGGTACATTCCTTATTATGGGTAATGCAGGATTTATATCATCAACAGTTTTTTTCAGGGTATCATGAAAAGGGGTGCCGTAAGGGTACTAAGATGCTATAAGGGTACTATAGGGATGCTATAAGGATCTATAACCCCCAGACCCTACACCCACCTAGAATCCTAGACCAAGAATCCTAGCCCTAGGCCGGCGCCTAAGCCATCAAAATCCTAATCCAAGAATCCAAAACCTCGAACCCTGAAGCCCCTAAGCCCTACTTGGAGGATCATGGGACTTAGTAAGTAGGGTTATATCTACCTTATTGGTTTCAAAAGTAAGTAAAATGGAGTTACCTTACTTATAACCCCAATTACTATCTCCCATGATCCTTTAAGTAGGGGTATTATAAGGGTGTCATAAGGGTATATACTAGGGTGCTACAAGGGTACTCTCATCCCAATTACTAACTCCCATGATCCTTTGAGTAATCGGGCTTTCCCAGAAGCCTTACCCCGAAGCCCTAAACCTGAAGCCCTACGCTCCAAACCCTGAAATTTAAGCTTTTGACCCTAAACCACAAAAGCTAAAACCTAACCCTAAGGCGGTTGAAAAAGAGGGTTCAAAAAAAAAAAAAACCCTCTGCCCCAACAAGCCTTTTACCGTTAAGCCCCAGATCTTCGAGAGCTCGACGCATCCCAGGGTTACTCCGAACTTTCCATGTCGACGTTCTCCCGGGTGCGGCCAGCTTCGTCGATCCTTGGTCGGGCAAAGTTTTCGTTTTAGGGTTCAGGGTTTAGGGTGTCTTTGTCGGGCAAAGTTTTCGCTTTAGGGTTTAGGGTTGGCGGTTTCCAGTTCGCATTGAGGGTTTCAGGTCTAGTGTTTCAGATGTGTTGGAGTTTAAGATGCCGCAAGTGAGCGTGTGTGGACGTTGAACAAACTCTTGGGGCCTAAACCCTAAACCCTAAACCCTAAACCCTAAACCCTAAGCCCTTTTTGATTAAGGCCGAACGATTCAGCTTGTTGGGGCCTCGATGGTTGGGGTGTCAGGGTTTAGGGGTTTAGGGGTTTAGGGGTTTAGGGGTTTAGGGGATTAGGGGTTTAGGGGTTTAGGGTTTAGGGTTTAGGGGTTAGGGGTTTAGGGTTTAGGGGTTTCGGGGTTTAGGGTTAGGGGGCCTGTGTCTTCACTCTCGGTCTAGAGGGGAGGGATTAGGGTCTGGCTCTGTCGCATTCAACGGAATGTTGCTTTTGGAGAAGCTGCATAGTGAAAGTTGGGGTGCCATAAATCCGTTCTCACCTTTCGACAGACAGGGTCCTGCATTTCGGACCTGCGTCAGCAGGACTGTAGAAGTTACGATGTTTTGTTAGAAACCTTATTCGTTTTCTGAATTACGCATGTCTCGTCGTGACATGGTTTGGTAACTTTTCTGTTTCTTGTATGCTCTTGAACACTGCGTGTCAGAGTCGGAACAGAGCGGCAGGCTTTGCACCAGGTGCTGATGTGGGAGTTTCCGAAAATGGGGGACCCTAATATAGTACCCTAAATAGTAGGATCCTTATTATAGGGACCCGAAAGAAGGTACCCCTAATTTTCGGAAACCCCCATGTAGTGCTTGGGCTTCAGCCCATAGCTGAACAGCTTTGTCCGAAAGCCAAAGACCCTCGAATCCGGGAAGGTAATATAGGGGCCTGAAGAAGGAGAATTAGGATTTTCGGGGCATATTATACTATAACTACTATAAGGAGTCCCCAGAGTACTATCGGTAATTGTTTACGCCCCTAGAGTACCCTAACCAGGGTGCCCGCCAATGTGTCCCTGTGAGGAGGACGTTTGCCGTGCCACCGTTTCGCAATCTGGTCCGAAACCTTCAACCTAAGCCCCACCCAGATGCTAAACACTCGTAGCCGTACTCTTACCTTTTTGGTTAGTAGGGAATGGAGGAATGGGGTACAATTGTAACTACTATTTCTACCGTTCTTCCATTCCCTACTAACCAAAGGTAGGGGTAATTCTGATACCGAAGTCTGAAGCACCAACTCCAAGCCAGGGTTGGAGCACTGATACACCCTAACATAGAAGCACAAGTAATTGCAGTATTATTCCGTAGGGTTCCCATTAGTTCGTTAGTTCCCATTATAACAGTTCTTTTCCGTACTCCAGAGATTTCACCTTCTGCCTTGAAGTGACCGAGGACGGCAAAACGATCAAGCTCACGGATACCTTCGGAAACTCCTCGAACATCAAGACACTCGTCACCAGCCTTTTCGGCCACCGGTTCAGGGCAGATGAAGTTGAGGGTTTGGGGGGAGTGCATGTGGGTTTCTGGGCCGGGGTTGGGTCCTGACATTCCTTGAAGGACTCAGGTTGCGGGGTTTGCTGTTCCACATGCGTCGAGTCGCAAGCGCAAAATCATTCCGTATATCTGTCCCAAGAGACTACCCTAAAGCCTAAGCTTCGATCCCTCTGTCTTTGACCCTCGACCTGAAGCCTACTTTCCCAAGCCACCTCCCCCCTACAGGATTTGTGACACCAGTCCGGTTTAGGGTTTCGGGATTTGAGGTTTAGGGTTTCTCCACCAAAGAATCAATCCTGAGTCAGACCCAGGACGACTGCTGTTGTCATTGCCACGGGCTCCAAGGCGAATCGATTGCCGATGGCCCCCTGGATGCTTTGAGACAGCCACCAGCTGAATATGGCTGGGTATATAAATATTCCTCAACCCGCTCCCATCCCTTAAAGACCATTAGCCATTCAACCGCCGCGAAGCGAAAGCTAATGCAATCAACAGCCATTTAAAGCCCTGCATCATGAAACCGCGGAACCCCCCAACTCCTAAGACTATATATAACCTCACTAAACTCAACGCCCGCCCGAAGGTATCAAGCCCCGTTACGATTGAGACGAATGGAGTCGAAATAATTAGTAATGGCATCCCTTGTGGTCTTTAAATACTTATACCATAATGTATCGCCAAACCCCTTTACCAGTATTAAGAATCCACCAAACCCTAAATCCCGTTTGGAACCTGTGTGAAGAAATCTTACAAGGCTCCCTCCCTTTAAATTTTTGTTTCATTTCTAAGACCACCGACTTCTTTTAAAGCTGATAGAGGAGAAAAGCGCTATAAAGCCGTATAGAAACCTTTCAAAAACTTTATACAAGCTCAGCCCACAGGGCTCCCTCAGAGATTCAAACCAGCAGGCGACGTTTTAGGGGGTTTAGGGTTGGGTGTGGCTTATCGAACCCTTGTCGTACCGTTATAGAATCCTTAAAAGCCCCTGTATGTTTACAGCCTTTTTTCCTTATAAGAAATGGCCTAGCAAAAGCTTCTGGGGCCCTCGCGGCATTGGTCTTTCCCCCAAGCCCTAAACCCTAAAACCCTAAACCCTAAACCCTAAACCCTAAAACCCTAAACCCTAAAACCCTAAAACCCTAAAACCCTAAACCCTAAATCCTAAACCCTAAACCCCTAAACCGCCCAGATCCCTTTCGACGTACCGGGAGTCTACGACTCGGACACCATTGGGGAGATCGACTACATCCCGCGGCTGATGCTTGGCTCAGGCTCTAGGTCTCTTTAGGTTCTAGGGTTTAAGGCTTTAGGGGTTTGGGGGTTAGGGGTGACGATGAGAGGTAGGCTTTAGGTCTCTTTAGGTTTAAGGTTTTAGGGGTCAGGGTTTGGGGTTAGGAGTGACGATTCAGCGGTTTAGGGTTCAAAGTTTGGAGTTGTGAGTGAAGGGCTTGCGAGCCGAATGGGGAACCCTACGGCAATCATGTGCCCTGCTTGGTTTGAAGCCTTTGGGTTTCATCCTTTGGGGCTTAGGGGTTAGGTTAGGGTATGCTTTGGGGTTTGGTATTTGGATTTGGGGCTTGGCGTGTAGCGTTCAGGGTTTGGTCTTTGGGTGGTTGGGTTGAATTCAAGCATGAGGTGTTATGGGGTCGAGGTGTAGGCCCAGTTTAGGCAGTAGGCCGTGGACTTCGAATGAAGCTTGGATCCACGGACCCGACCTTTTTGGAGTGGGGTCACTGCTCCGGCGTGGGCCAGTAGGGGTTGCAAGTTTGTGGGACTTGGGGTTGTAGGGTGCTTGGGACGTCGGGTTGGGCATTTGCAGTTTCTTGTCTCTTTGTTTCCTGCCTTTGGTTTGTGGTCATGGGTTCGGCATCGTCGAGTCGGTTTCTGGGTCGACTTTATTCCGTGCTGCCTGCGGGCATCCTCTTCGAATGTTGCCTTCTTGACCCCGAGCCTCCTATAGACACTTTGAGGCTTCACAAGTCCGGAGCTCTAAACCCCAAGCCCCGAGCCTCAACTCCGAAAGCCCAGCCCAAAACCCCAAAATCCGGGACCCGAGCTTCGGAGCCTTAGCCTGGACCGCAGACCTTGCAGTCCCAAACTCTACCGCCCCGACCCCAAAGCCCTGCAACATTAGCCCGATGATTCCCAAAACCCGAGACTTTCCCAAGGGATAGCATGAAACCCGAGATCCCCGAACCGACTCACTGCAGGATGGTGGTTCAGGGCGGCGGCATCATAGGCAGGAGGGCAGGGGTGCTGTAGGATTCACGGTCTAGGGTGGTTTTGTGAGTTTCGTAGGAACTGAGAGTCCTGATCCTAGTCCTAGGGTTGAGGGTCCAGGGTTATGTTAGTTTGGATGTCCGAGTGCTGATCTCTGCAGGGATCTTGAAAACGACTTGAGACTAAGCAGGGCAACTCTCAAGCCCTGCATCCCAAACCACAGACCCTAATCCCCGAACCCCTGACCCCTTAGGCCCTAGACCCTAAACCCTAATCCCCGAACCCCTGACCCTTTAGGCCCTTAACCATAAACCTTAAACCCTAAAACCTCAAACCCAAGCCATAAGCCCTAAACTAGAAATCCTAAACCCAAAACCCTTCGGCCTAAACCCCGTGCCATGCACCCTGAACCCTAGAGTTTCGGACTTCAAGCCTTTGGTTTGAGGTTTTAGGGTTTAGGTGTTTAGGGGTTTAGGCATTTCGGGTTTAGGGGTTTAGGGTTTAGAGTTGAGTGTATGTTACGGGACTCAATCATCAGAATAGGGTTGTGCATATATCATACTTTAGGCTCCCTGAGCCTTAAATCCCTTGGCTAGTAGCTTCCTTGCCGCACTCACCAGGCCTGGAATATGCAAACATCTTCGCAAAGATGGGCACGAAGGCGGGCACGGGATGTACTGTGGGGGCCTGAATAATTAGAATGGGGCTTGGGGGTATGTTATATTACAATTATAATAAGGAGCCCCTAAAAGCCTGTTTTACTCATCAAGGCCTTTATAGTACAAAGATGAATTGTGGCTTGAGTGTTTGCAGGGCTGCAGGGCGTGAGGACTTTCACTTTGGAGTTTCACGACTTTGAGCCCTGCAATGCCTCCTTATTCCCCAAAACCCCAACCCCAAACTAGACCTTCACTTATTCATAAGATCCTACAGCACTTCTAAATCTGCGTCTCTGGCGTGAGGATGTTTCAGGGCCAAGCCTTCAAACTCGGGGGGTTTAAGGGGTTACCGGTTTTAGGGTCTGGGGTTTGGGGCTTAGGGTTATGCCTTGAGCCAACCAACCCAAACTCGTTTAGGAAAGCCCCCGAGCCTGAACACTTACCGGTTTTATTTCTTAAAGGTTCCTGTTTGTCAGGCCTTCAACTTGCCGGTATAGTGGATGCCAGCATGGCGATACTCTAAAATATCCAATGATCTAAGACCTCAATTTTGCGGCTCAAGGCCTCAAGCGCTCGGTTTCGTGCCGTTAGACCCCAAATCTGCAAGCTCGGCTACAGCGGGTTCTGTGCAGAAAGCGCCCAGAGTTCGTGAGGGTTTGAGGTTTGGGGTTTGGGCCAGTTTGGGGTGCTCTATTAAGGGTCTAGGTTTTAGTTTTCGTGTGTTGGGCTTAAAACGGGTTGACTGAGCTTGTTTCATGCATGCCAAGGTCAAGGTGAGTGAAAGAAGGATATTCGGGTTCAGGTGTTCGTGGTAAGGGGTCAGAAATGTCGGTTCCGGGTTTTCAGTTTTCCGGCATGCTGCAGCGTTTTGCGGTTGTGATGCATATTCATCTGCACACGCCCTGTAAGACGTTTATACAGCTCTATAGTTCCCTAGCGTTCATGTTGAAGGGCTTTCACACATGTTTTTTGTCAGGTTTTTTGCCGGTTCTGTTGCGAAGCAAGTGGCATGCACGTTACCATAAGAAGGGTGAGAATGTACCTGTATCTGTATATGTATATACCCAGCAGACATGTGACCAAGAGAGAGGTTCAGAGATTTTATCGTCGGATCTCCCTTGAGGTGGCGGCAGAAGCTCGGGATTAGTGTCGGTTCACGGTGCTTGCGAGTTCTGTTAAGGGTCCCAAATCCCCACATCCCCAAGCCTGATCTTCGGAACCTCTAAACCCTTATAGAGCCCTTTAAAAGAACCCTTCTAGTACTGTTATGGTAACCCTTTAAAGGAACCCTGGCTTATGGATTAGGCCTAGGGTGCTCGTAGCTCGTGTCTGGGCCTTGTATCTCGTTGTGTTTTTTTTTTCAGTCTTCTCAGCTACTTAAAGGATCATGGGACTTCGTAATTGGGGTCCTTAAGGGGTTCCTTTAGGGGATCTATGGGGGCACTATACACTTAGAACTACTTATAACCCCAATTAAGGTACCTATAACCTTACTTACTAAGTCCCATGATCCTCCAAGTAGGGCGTGGATCTGAAGTGCCATCCGACACCCCCAGCCTGACTTTAATGTGCAGGTCATCGTCGTGGAGTTCGCCGACAAGGTGTTGATGACGCTTGGGCATCAAGGTGTCCAAGCCAAGCGACGTGTGCTATCGTAGCTACCCTAAACCGTAAACCCTCAACCCTAAACCCTAGCCCCTAAACCCGAAACCCTAATACTCTGGACCCTGCACTGGTAATTAATCCGGACCCCCAAACCCGAAGCCATGTAATCTGAGACCCAGAGTCGTCGTCTCCTAAACCCTAAACCATAATCCCCTGGCTTATGCCGCATTCGCTTTCAACTTTCAAAAATCCTGAACTTTACAGATGTCGTCCCTGAACTTCGTATCGCCGCCGTTGCGTAGTGTCGTCTCATGTTCCCAGACCTTGAAGAGCCTACGCCCTGACTCTTAAAGTTTATCCCCGAAGCCGAAAACTTTAAGAACCTAAACCCTCAGCCCTCGGCACTAAAGCCTAAACCCCCAAACCTTAAGCCCAAAACCCTAAGCGTTAATGCTAAGCGCTAAACCCTAAACCCTAAGCCCCCAAACCCTAAGCCCGCAAACCTGCAGAACTTAAGCCCTGGAGATGCACCCAACACGGTACTTCCAGGACTTAGTACGGCACATAGTAGCTGATAGGTACTGCAACTATAGTTTTGCTTACTTGTGCCCGCAACCGGTGCCTTCACAGGTCCATTCTAATGCCACTGGGGCCCTAAACCCCGAGCCAAAGTGTTGGCGGCATGGTAACCAATTTTTCCATGCACAGAAACAAATCAAAACGAACAGCAATGCAAACAAACGCACAACCAATAATGCGACGCTGTTGATAGTAGAAAGATGACACCTGCTCTGCCCCAATCTCCCCCTAAACCCTAAATCCTAACCCTAAATCCTAAAACCCTGAGCCCTAAACCCTTTCTCCTCGAATCGCTGGCTTTCTGTGCTTTCTTGTGCCCGGCAACCTCGTCTCAGAAGCCTCCCATGCTGCGCTTTGAGGGTCCTAAACCCCAAACCTCAAAACCGTAAAAGCTCTTATAGAACCTTGAAGAACCTTTATAGAACCATATCCTAGGATGCCCAGCAGCACCCTTGTTCCCTTTTTGTACTCCTAGGTTCCTTATAAAGTTACGCAATACCAAAAAGGGAGCCCTTTTTATTTCTAGGTACTGGGCATCCTAGCTTATAATCCCTAAATCCTAAAGCCCGATAGTATTACCCACTACAAAACTGAAAGTGTACAATTTGGGGGCTTATGAACTCAGCAACTAAGGAACCCCATACTTTGTCATAGTTGGGTAACATTTTATATTTTTATGGGTACCTAAACCCAATTAAGAAATTTAAATGTAAATTTTGAGTCCTATCCCAACCATGAACTAGTTATAGAACCTTAGCAGCTGAGTAGATGCACTTTACACTTCTTGGGATAGTACTACCCACTGTACTTGGGGCTTATGAACTCAGCAACTAAGGAACCCTATGATACATCACCGAAAAACAACTCCTCGGATAAGTAGGGTTATAATTGGGGTAACTCCATTTAGGGTACTTATAACTCTACTTATAACCTACTTACTAAGTCCCCTGCTCCTCCAAGTAGTATACATCCCTTAAACAAAACTCCAAACCCCCCCCCCCCCCCCCCCCCCGCCCTCGATCCGAGGATGCTTGACGGCGACCTCAAGGCTGCGCTGCTCTCCGAGCTGGCAGCCAACAAGGCCGCAACCGGGGCTTCGGATGAAGGGTTTAGGGTTCAGAGTTTAGGGTTTAGGGTTTAGGAGTTCGGGGTTTATGAGTTTAGAAGTTCGGGGGTTTAGAGTTTAGGGTTTAGAGTTTAGGAGTATAGGGAGTTTAGGTTTAGAGTTTAGGGGTTTGGGGTTTAGGACCCTTAGAGGAACCCTTAAGGGATCCTTCAGGGACAAAGGGCCATAAGGTTTATAGAAGGTTGGGGCTTAGGGTTCAAAGTTGAGGTGTTTGGGGTTTAGGGTTTAGGGCTTCCCAGAAAAACTCCAGCATCCCTGAATTGAGTAAGGAATATTCCTTGGATTATAGTAGGATCCCTACCGTGATGTAAGGATATGCCTTGAACCCAGGGATATTGGAGTCTCCGGGTAAGGGTTTAGAGTTCAGGGATGATGTAGGGTTCAGGGTTTAGGGATGATTGAGAGTTTGGGGTTTCGGGTGATGTAGAGTTTAGGGTTTAGGGTGAATGAATCCAAGGGGAAAAGGAGGGACCCTTAATAAGGACCCCTAGGTATATACCCTTAATATTGCTACTATATACCCATTGTATAGCCCATTATAGGGTAGGGGTCCCCATTAAGGGTCCCTCCTTTTCCCCTTTGAATGAAGGTTTATGGTAAGGTTTTGGGTTCAGGGTGCGTGGGTCCTGGAGTACCATGCTGTAATACTTGTTCGATGACCTGTGTCTTCAAGGAACCGTTGTGAAATTGAGAGTTATACTATGTTTCTCCCCGGTTACTTCAAAGCCCAGGTGATCTGGGATCTAGCTTAGGGTTTAGGGTGAGTCTGTGAGGGTTTAGGGTTTTGGGGGTTTAGGATTTCGGGTGATCTAGGGTTCTATTCGTCGGGTTCTGTAAAGGGTACTTGTAGGGCTGTATAGGGATCCTATAAGGGCAGGAGTTTAGGGTTTAGGGTGGCGAAGTCGGACAAACAGTGACAGCATCCTCCTCGGAGTCCTCATGTTTTCTTCTTACAATACTTGTAGGATTGCTTGCAGGGGTCTGTGGGGATTCCGATGTGGGGGCCAATTGATCTAGACTGGCATACCGTTCTGAGCTCCAAAACCGCCATTTTGGGAGGCAAGAGTGTTTTAAAGGTCAGGGTCACGGGTAAGGTTTGCGATTCACAGCCGGTAGAAACGGTTCAGGGGTGTTTTTGGCCGCGTGCTGCCAAGTCTTGCCGAAGTTATCTCCGCAAGGGCTTCGTATGGCGGTCAAGGTTAGAGTTACTTTGGCGAGTTTCCGAAAGCTTTTGACTTTGCTTTGCGGGTCTGGGCTTGACTGTTCAGGTCCGACGGTTTATGGTTTGGGTCTGATGTTGTTGTTGTGGTTGTCGTTGTTGTTGTTGCTGCTGCTATCATCGTCTTCACGAGCACTTGTCGAAAGGTTGATCTGCTCTTGAGCACTGCGATCAAGTCGATCGTCAAAGGCACGTCGGGTTTCCGAATTTCAGGGATGTAATGTAGGACCATGTTTTGACTTAATAAAGAAATGCCCTGGAGATGTAATTTTGGATCCTCCTGTTGTGGGGATTGGGTATAGAGCCCAGGGTTCAGGGTTTTGGTTTTCCATTTCGGCACAGCGTTTGCACTTAAGGGCAGAAGGGTTGAAGGTTGAAATCCCTACAGAAACCTTCGGAAGAACTTCAAGGGAGACCCTCACAAGGGTTGCGGATCCGGCTTGAGGGTTTCCAGTTTGTGAATTTGGCCCTCCACCGAGCCCTAAACCGTGCAAAATCCAAAGTCCTTAAACTAAGAGTCCAGCATTTAAGCCTTAGTGCGTATGTTGTAGGTTCATGGTGTAGAGATTTACAATTGTCGTGGCTTTCCTTTGTCATGCTTTTTGGTCCCACACTTTTGGGGTTTAGCTCCACGGGTTCAAGATCAAGGCTTGAGCCCTAGGCCACGAAACTTTGATCTGTAAATTCAAACCCTGCAAAGCGGCGTTCCCAGAGACGCCAATACCCCTTAATTAAGGAATATTCCTTAAATCATATTAGGGATCCTATTATAATTTAAGGTATATTCCTTAATTAATTAGGGGATATTGGAGGCTCTGGGTTGTGTCGGTGTAAACCTTAACCCGACCCCGGAGACGGTTTACACAATAGAACGAACCCCCAAATGCTATCTTGCTGTCATATGGGTGGCCTGAACTGAGGCAAGGGCGCTACACGCGGAAGCCCCGTGTTGCAGGCGGGAGCAAATCTGCAAGTAGACCCGAAAGCGGAAATCCCGAGGCTAATGCACCAATGCTGGCGCGGAAGGAAAACATCCTGGACTAAGCACAAGCACCAATCGTGAGGAGACAAGCAGTATAAATATAGAAGGATAAGAGGCTACCCGTCGCAAGAGCAGCAAACAAAAAACCCTCCTAGGTCCGAAACCTTGACCCCCTAAACCTTAAACTCCAAACCTCAGCCCCTACGACTCACGATGCCACGCTTTAGCTTTTGCAGCTCGAGCCGAGTGCACCAGGTAAAGAAGGGGCCCTGTGTTTTCTGGTTCAGGGTTTAAGGTTGAGCCCGAATGCGTCAGCCAAAGCACAGGTGGTTTCAGACAGATCTAGTGAAAAGCAGCATGCCAGAATTCAGGGTGTTTTAAACTGTCTGAAACGCAGCAATAGGCATGGGCCTACGCAGGATTTCGAAGTAGTTCTCTGGCGAAGCCGGACTTTCCGACTCCGGCTTTCGGGCTAGAGGGTTTTTTGGGATGTTGTGTTTTAGGGTTGATAGTCTATCAATGGTAGGTTTGATCGGGTGTTATAGTGTTGTTAGGCTTGCCGGGTTAATGGGGAGTAGGGTGCAGGGTACTCCTTCCAACGCTAAGTCTGTAGAGACAGTCTTTTTATCAGCCACATAAAAGTTGAGCCTTACAATTCCTTAAACCCTAAACACCCAAAGCCCTAAACCCCTGATGGTTGATGCTGGTTTGGACGATGAGGTCGGTATCTAGTGACTAGTGAGTGGCAGTAGTGCAAGCCTAAGCTGGCGGGCTCAAGACCTGCTCCTGCGGAGTGATAAAGAGTCACTGCACCTGAAAACAAGAAAACCCCTGAGCCCTCTAAATCCTCGAAACTCTAAACACTGAACCCCCTGAACCCCCTGAATCCTCTAAACTCTAAACCCTAAACCCTTAAAGCCTGACACTCCATAGATCCTTCCCTCGATGGTGCGAGGTGGACATCGGCGAATGCTTCTTGGAAACCGGGCCCAAAGAGCTGGTATTTTGAAGTTTGATGGTTGCCTTTTTGAGGTTTTGCTTCTTTTATATATAATACATGTATATCTATACATATATATATATATAGACATAATTTATACGTGTATATATATATATATATATATATGTGCATACAGAAGAGGAGGCGGACAAATTCTCTGCATGTACATAGTGAACCAGACCCTAACACCTGTCTGACCCTCCGTGAAGTGAGAGGGTGCAAGTTTATTTGGACTGGGACCGTGAGATCACTCCAGGCGACGGTTTGATTCGAACCGAAAAATATTACAAGGTCGCAGGATCACCCTAGGCCTTAACCCTAAACTCTAAACCCTAAGCCGTCCTTGCCAGCTTTTAGATGGGCAAACGCTATAAGGCTTTGAAGCCTGAACGCCTGAACCTTAAATCCTAGGCCCCAAGTTTAGACGCCATAAACCCTAAACCCTTAGAGTCTAACCCCCCCGAATCCCATAGCCCTCGGGAAGGCTGACTGAGTGTTTCACTTCCTGCAGCTTTCAGCATGAAACCCAAGCCATTGTTGCAGATCCCAAACAAACCCTAAACCCTAAACCCTAAACCCTAAACCCCTAAACCCTAAATCACTTTGGGGTTTAGGGGTTTCAGGGTTGAGGCAGCAGGGTTCGCGTTCAGGGCTTAGAGGACGAGCCTTCGGAACCCTAAACCCTAAACCCCTAAACCCCTATACCCTAAACCCTAAACCCCTAAACCCCTAAAACCCCTAAACGCCTAAGCCCCTAAAACCTCTAAACCCCTAAACCCTAAGCCATTCCTAGGAGTGCGATTGCTTCCTCTCGGCTACCGGCCGTGCCGGCTGCACGGACAACCTGGGTCTGGACCGAGATGGGGCTGAGGGCCAAGGGCTCCTTTAAGGGACCCTTAGGGATCCTTCAAGGGATCTATAGGGTTCGTTTAAGGGTTACCAAACGGCTTAGCTAAAGTGGTGTAGGACTCAGGGCTTAGGGTTTAGGATTGTGTGTTTTTGTAGACATTGACCTGGTTTTAAAGTAGAGGATTTTGACAGATTTTTCGAGGCCTCCAGTCCTGCAAAGTCCTGAAAAGAGAGCTTGTGCATTCTTGATGGTGTGGTTTAGGGTGCAGTGTTTCCATAGGAGGTTTTGACGTGAGCCCGGATTTAGGTTTGAGGGTTTAAGAGCCTAAACCATGGAACCGTGAGGCTTAAACTACCTGGACCCTGAGGAACCTGCCTTTCTTTAGGGTTCCCTAATATGATTTCTTTATACAAGCCCTCAAAAAGGTAGATTATTAGGGGTTCAGCTTGGGGTTACGGCTGTAGTGAATCCAGTCCTGGCATGTAACTTGCCATAGTTTGTTCTAATCAGGTTGATGGGGGGTGAAGGGGAGTCCCATTGTTTAAAAGCTGCTTTCTGCTGGTTTGCGGCGTTTGGTTCAGATCTCATCCCACTTTCTAGCCTCGTTGCGAAAGGCTTTGCACAACCCCAAGCCCCAGACCCCTAAACCCTAAAGCCTAAACCCTAAAGCCTAAACCCTATAAAGCCTAAACCCTATAAAGCCTAAACCCTAAAACCCTAAACCCTAACCCCTAGGCCCCTAAACCCTAATTTCCTAAACCCTAATTTCCTAAACCCTGAAGTGAAGGGTCCGAGGGGAGTCCTGCAGTCGTTCTCAGACTGGGAGACTCCCGGCCACAGTCGGAGCCGCATGGGGTCCATGGTTTCGGGTTTAGGGTTTAGGGTTTCGGGTTTAGGGTTTAGGGTTTAGGGTTTAGGATTTAGGGTTGTAGGGGCTCCAAACTCGGGTTTAGGGTTTTAGGGGCTCCGAACTCTCAATCCTCAGCAGCCAGCAGGGTTTAGGAGGTTTTTAATGTCCAAGCCCCAGTAGGATTTTTGGGCCTATACCTTAAACTCTAAACTTACCTCCACCCCCCATCGTTTTCCATCACCCTGCGTTCTGGGTAACTGCACTTTGCTGTGCTGCCATTACTGCCCGAATGCCCTTGATTCTTGTATCCCAGCTTCCCAACATGGTCAAGGTGGAAGCTAAGGCCAAGCTTCGACGTGGTGTTGTCACTGACAGCAAATCTATTTATGGAAAGAAAGGAGCTACCAACAGTGCTTTCAAAAGGAAGCATGGACTGAAGTATTCGTCTTCATCCTCCAAAGGGTCCCACCACGTTGGTCTGCGGGGTCTTGACCAAGTCACATATGAGGAAATCCAGAAGCTTGGCCAACAAGCAGCTCGGAAGTATCTAGAAAAGACAGGGGTCATTCTGAAACAGAATGATCCCAAGATGTCGTTTGTGTGTTGGGGTTGTCATCAGCCTATGTCTGCATCTGGAGATGGGAGCATGTTTCGTTGCAGCAGGCGCCAGTGTGACAAGAAGCCGAAGTTGACTAACCCCGCCGTGGCCTTTACTCCTCTTGCTGGATTCGTATCTGCTGGTTGGGAAGTAGACTATGTCATGTGCTTAAGAAGTGCTTATGCTCTGGGTGCCAAGATCACGAACGACAGTGCAATCCATATGCTTCGGAGAAAAGAGGACACCTTAAGTCAAGCAGAACATAAGGTGGATTACTTCTACAAGCGGCTCAAAATTCCATTGGCTTACACGGAAGTCAAGTATGCCAAGGACTTTGAATTCAAGGCCGATGTAGTAGAGCCTGATTCTGGACGGATGGGATTCAGGAAGGACAAAACAGCTGCTCAGAAGATACATTTGGGAAGGACGCTTGTTCTCAAAGGTCGCTTCACAAAAAAATGGGTGGCCAGGGCCTTGCCCGACTCAGTTTCGAAGATTGGCCGCGGCATGGGAGCTGAGACACGACAAGACGTGGATAACCCCATCAAGACGCACATGGGTTCGGCGACAGTGGGAGCTCCTGATGGTGGGAGAGCATTCCATGGTGCTCTCAGAGCCAGTGGAATACCAACTTTGACTGGGGTGAATCACATGAAGAAAGTGTTCACTCCAGTGGGCAGGCTCTTGAAGTCCACATTGGATACAGGGACCAGCAGGATGCTGCGACAAAGATGCAAAGGCAAACAGCCTTGTGTCAAGGAGACGGCACGATACTTTACTCTTCCAGCTGGAGACAACAGTGCTGAGAGGACCATTGGTTGCATCAAAGGCGTCATGAGACGGTTGCACAATGTGGGACGAGTCACCAAAAGCCAACACCAGAAAAATATCCAATCCCTTTCTGCTGCTGCTCTTCACAGGGGTTCCGAGTTCACAAAGGTCTTGGAGGCCATGAAGCTGTACAGAGAGGATTGCTCGAAAGGAGCCATCCACATGGATCCGAAGAAAGCCTTTGACATTGCAGCTTGCACCTGGCTGCACAACTAGGGGGTACCAACAGGATGGTGGGGACTGCCTGCAAGAAAGAAAAGGCGCTGCCAACCGACGGGGGGGTGACGTAAACTTAGCGAGGGTTTCGGCTTCTGTCTGAAGCCTGAGCCCTAAACCCTAAACCCTAAACCCTAAACCCCTAAACCCTAAAGCCCTAAACCCTTAAACCCTAAGCCCTAAAGCCCTAAAACCCTAAAGTTAAGGCGGGGTCAGAAGCCGACTTGTCGCGAGGAGGCGGTTGGTGTCAAGACTGGCCGTGGGAAGATGATTCAGGTGGACGAGCCCCTTGTCTAAGCGAGGGGCCCAAAGGGCTTTCAGTTTAGGGTTTTAGGGGTTTAGGGTTTAGGGGTTTAGGGTTCAGGGTTTAGGGTTTAGGGTATCTTCTTTTAGTGTCTCGTTATAACTCTACCATATATGATTCAGGTGGACGAGCCTCTTATCTGAGCGAGGGGCCTTAAGGGCTTTGAGAGGTGTGTTCCCTACACCCTAAACCCTAAACCTTTTAGGGTTGAGGTAGGGTATCTCGTTGTATCTCTAGAGGAGTTTTAAAGGCTTTCAAAGGTATACTATTTTAGGGTTTAGGGTTTTAGGGGTTTAGGGGTTATCGCCCTACCATATATACGATATACGTCAAAGCCTGCTGTATATGCGATCAGACCTTGAAACACACGCTGAAAATAACATGTGAAAGGAATCAGTACACTGGTGTGGCTAGCATCTACGCCGTTGGCGATGTGGCCGGCGGCAACTTGGCGACCATCGGCCAGGCGCGGTCCGAATCCCAACAAAACACCTGAAGGATCATTAGGGTTTCGGGGCTTTGATGGGTTTTTGAGAGTCTTGCCAGGCAAGTAAGGAGGTGTGGGGCTCAGGGGACTTGGTAAATAGAAAGAGTATAAGTATAGAGTGACCTTACTTCTACGCCTGGTTCGCCCAAACGAGAAAACTCCTATTTCTAGATCCCTAAACCCTAAACCCTAATCCCTAAACCCGAAAAGGAGCTCAAAAAAAACCCAAAACCCTATAGAACCCTTCAAGGATCAGGATCCTTCAAGCAAGGAACCCCAAGGGCTGGAGAGAAAGCACAACGCACCTCTGGAAGTTTGAACAACGTAGTCATACTATTCCTCAGGGGCTCCTTTGTGACAGGTAGTAATACTAGTCCTTAAGGCTCCTTCTTATGGTTGTAGTATAGCCCAACACCCCATTTCAATTGTTAAGGCTATTTCGTGAGAACGAGGAAGACAGGGTCAAGGCCGTAGTGGACAAACCAGGTGTGCTCGGGTTGGAGGAGGCGAAGAGGAATGTGGGTTTTGGGAGTCGGATTTGGGGTTGAGGGGTTACTTGGAGGGTCGGAGGACTTAGTAGAGTTAGAAGTACCCTAAAAGGCAACTTGATCGGAGCTATGATGCTTATAAGATGAAACCTTAAGTCCAACGCCCGTAAACCCAGGCTCAAGCTGGCGGCATTTCACAGCTCATAGGAGGTCAAAAGGGGTTTGGGGGTTTAGTACGGATTGGGGTCCCCATAATAGGGTTAATATTAATATTAAGGAATCCCTACCCCAAGAATCTCAGACCCCCCTTTTGGCCTCCCATCAACAGCGATGAGCCTGGCAAGAAGCGCAAGAAGTCCGGCTCTGGGCCTACCTTCATTAGCCCAGAGCAGGAGGAAATCTTGTCCTTGCATCGCTGGGTTTGGCGAATGGTGGAAGCTTCCATCACAGACGGGTCGAAGTTGATGGATGCAGGCCAGCTGAAGACCATCAATGCGAGCACAGTCCAGCTGCCAGCGACCGTGGTTCATCATCCGGCTGACTGTCGGGCAATCTCTCACTTTGATGCCACGGTACCAAGTCCCCCGACCCTACCAGTAGGGTTCTGGGTTTGGGGTTTGGCTTCCCGTTCAGGCCCAGGCTGTCCGTGCGGTGCGCAAGATGTTCGGCAGCGGCCAGTACACGCTGAAGGCCCCAGCTGCTATCATGATGGTTCTGACGCTCGTTGATTATTATATTTGTCACTATTATTTTGTTTTCACTACTCTTAATACGATCATGAGTGTACTTAGTATTAGCATTATTAGTATAACTACTGTCGCACTATTATTATTATTATTACTATTACTATTATTATTATTACTATTACTATTATTATTGTTATTCTTGCAATTAGTGTTATTTTTGTATGTGTGTTATTGTTTTTTGTTTTGTTAATAATGGTAATCATTGTTTTCTGTTTTTGTTTCTTATAATCGTTACGACGGTTACTATTGCTATTATTGCTATTATTGCTATTATTGTTATTAATGTCATTACTGTTATTATTGTTATTATTGTCATGATTGCATTTGTTGTCATTATTGTTATAGTTCTTATAGTTCTTATAATTCTTGTAGTTACATTGTAGTTGTTGTTGTTATTATTGTTTTCTTAGTCTCAGTCATACTCTTACTCTTCTTCCTCTTGCTCTTGCTCTTGCTCTTGCTCTTACTCTTGCTCTTACTCTTACTTTCGCTCCCACTCATACTCTTACTCTTACTCTTACTCTTACTCTTACTCTTACTCTTACTCTTACCCTTACTCTTACTCTTACTCTTACTCTTACTCTTACTCTTACTCTTACTCTTACTCCTACGCTCGGGCTTACCCTTACCCTTGCCCCTACCCTTGCCCTTAATCCTTTTCTTCTGCTTGTGCTTATTGTTATTCTTGTTCTTACAGTACACGCTGCAGGAGCCTGGGTTGGCTTTTTACATTTTTCTGCGTTGGGGCTTTCAGGTAAACACCAAGATCCTAGAACCCCTAAACCCCAAACCCCTAGAGTAGAAGACATTCTTAGTGCCGGGTTGCCCTTTCATTCAAAATTCAGGGTATGAGGATACTGATGGTCCAAATTTCTGGTTTCCGGTGGAAATAAAAAAAACCCCTCCCGAGCAGATCCGGTTCGTGAGGAACCCTTAAGGGTTCCTTTTTCCTTTAAGGGCTGCTTTAAGGGTTCCTATCCCAAAAATTGCAACATGGATCTAGGATGAATGGTTCTTGGCCTCTAATTACAGCCTCAACACTAAGCCGTTTGGGTTTGCGGTTTGGGGTTCCAGGTTTTGGCAGAAGCGTTTGGGGTGAGGAGTTGGTTTGGGGTTTAGAGCTGACCCTACAGCCTGAACCGTAAACCGTCGGTTGCTGAGGTTTTGGGGTTAGTGCAACACGATGTTGAGAGGATATTTCACTAAAATCAGGCCTGAACGACTGAACAACGGCCCTACAGCCTAAACCCTATGCCAGAACCCTAACGTGGCAAGATCCTGCTAGCAAGGCAACGGAAAGGTGGTTCGGTGCATTACTTTCCAGACCCTAAACCCTAAACCCTGCGACAGGACAAAGAGGCCAAACCGTACATTGTCTGGACCATCCCAGAGGTGTCTCGGCAATCACGAGCGGTTTAGGATTTAGGGTTTAGGGTTCATGGTGCTCGTAGCGTAATTATCATCCAGATATGGCCTTGGTAACTATACTTAGGTATAAGCGGGAAATGAGTAGTTAGGTTACAAGCACGCCGAAGATTCTGTGTGGCTGGTCATAAGAAGTGTTACGACTAGAGATTTGGAAGGTTTCTTCAGGGCTAGGTATGCTTGTGTGCGGTATTTGTAATGATGAGTCGGGTTAGAGGTACCTTAATCTCGTAAAGGTATCCTTGATTCTGGCTACTTGCCTCCTGGCCCTGCCTTTAACTACTCATGAACCTCCAACTTGATAACACTAATGCGGGAATCTCTGCCAGGTGGTTCCAAGGCAGCCGATCAGCTTCGGCTTTCTTAGGGCGCAGAAACCCGCAAATCCTGAGTTATTGGGCTCGTGAACATGAATTCTTGCATCACTAGATCCTGAAATGGCCCAGAAGTTCTAGACAACACAGCCGAAAGGCCACACCTAGCCCAAACCCCAAGTCCCGAATCCTGTGATCCTTCAACCCCGAAACCAGAAACTGAATGCCGGGAGCCGCAACGCCCAACCCTCAAATCCGATTTTCCAGGATGCATGCCGCAACACCTAGTCTGCACTCAAAACCGCCGACGAGGATAATCAGAGGCCTGAATGTTGTGACTTAGGCTCTATGGCTTGTATATAAATCAATGTCTGAGGGAATCCTGGTCGATGGCATTGTTCCATAGTCGTCCCCAGGCCCTAAAGCCAAAGCCTAAGCCCTTGTCGTTCATGGAACTGTTCAACCTTGAGTGGGGTAAACCCTCAGTGTTTTTTCCCTCACTACCCTAAACCCCAAACCCTTATCATCCCTAAATCCTAAAGCACTTTTTTGCTTCAGCCCTAAACTTAAAGGAACTTTACACCCTTAAAGGGACCCTTAAAGGGGACCCTTGAAGTCTTAAAGCCGAGAGTCTGAGGTGGCCTGGGTGGGGCTGAACGAACAGGAGGACCTTGTCGCTGTTTTTGAGGGGAGGGAGGAAGGGAGGGAGTTTAGGCTTTAGGGTTCGGTCGGACATTCGCCAGCCAATGTCAGCTTTTACGGTTCTTGGTTTAGGGTTTTGCTTTAGGAATTTGGGGTGGTTCAATAAAGGACACAGGACATTGCTTTAGGGATGTGGCAGCTCTAGGGTCTGAGCATTGATGTTTCAAGTCTAGGAGGCTTTTGGGCCTTGAGGTTTTGTGGTTGAGCGCTCGTGGCCTTGGGGGTTTTAGGGCTGTGTGTCGTAAGACTTAGTGACTTAGTGCTGTTCGTCGGGCGGCTTTACATTGGCTTTCAGAGTTTCGTGTTCAGGGTTAATGGGTTTCGGGATTCCAGGTTTCAAGTTGATGTTTTGGGGCATCTTGCGTTTTGAGTGTGCAGCGGCTTCTAGCTTGATGCAATCAAATCGGTGCGTGCTACAACATTGTCACCGGCAAGTCCTTCACCCCAAGCCCCGTGAAAAGTTAAAGCCGCAGCTTTCGGAGCCAAAGGCCCTACTACCCTAAGGCCTTAAACCCTAGGCCCTAACCCTAAACCCTAAACCGTCAATCCCCTAAGCCTGTGTATATGTCCTTACGCCTTTCCCTGCTGTACGGCAATCCGCAGCTGCAGATCCCAGAACAACAGTCGACAAGATGCTAAAACTGCGCAAAACGCCGGTCCTGAAACCCTCTCATCACCAAGCCCCAACAACAAAGAACCAGCAATCCCCTATGTAAACCCTCAGTCCCAAACCCTGAAACCCTAAACCCTTACTAAACCCCGAACCCTGATCCCTAAACCCTGTTCGAATGGCACCATTTTGTGTGTGTGACGAGCCTAAAGTCCCGTGGGTTTACAGGTGATACGGTTGATGATCTAAATCCCGCATTACCTTAAGGACCCTAGACTATGGGAATTATGGTATATTCCTTATTGTGGGTAATGCAGGATTTATATCATCAACCGTAGCTTCTTGGGTGGAGGGATGTGGCTCGTTCAAACAGGCTGTCCCTGACTTACGGGTTTCGGCAGCACAGCAGTTGGAAAAGGGCCCACACAAAAAAGACCTAAACCCCAAAACCCTAAACTTAAACCATGAAGGCTTCAAGCAGAATCTGCAAACCATTGCAGCCCGTAGGGTCTTCAACCCTGTACAAAAAGCAAAGTTCGAACCCTGAATCCTACATCCCTCAAGGCAGGGTTGGGTTTAGAGCTTAGGGTTTGGGGCTTGATGGGTTGAGGGTTTTGGGGTTGAAAGTTTAGGGTCGCGCACACTCACCAAAACAGGCAGAGGCCAAAGGGCTGAACTTTGGCCTCGTTCGCGTGGAGCCACTCGGTTTGCGGTCATTCGAACTGCCTTGAGTTGACGGTGTTAAACGGGTCATGAAAGGGTTCGTTGAAGGATTTCTGTACGGATTCTGCAGCGGTTCTGTATTGGGTGCTCGTGCGTGCTTACACACTGTAGCAGAAGCAATACAGCCTGGACGTACACTCATATGTACATACATACAAGTGTTTTTGGACGCTATCAACCCCCCAAACCCTGAAACCAGTTTTGGGTTCAGGGTCTGTTGGTTTACGGCCGTCGATGGTTTAGGGCTCAGGGTCCACGGTCTCTGGGCTTTGCTTCGGTGATGTTCCCTAGTGTCTCAGGATAGATAATACATATATGTATGTAGATAGGCATGTGTTTTGGGTACTTGCAAAGCCCTGAGCCCTAAACCCGGCCCTACAGCCCTGAAGCCGAACCCCAAACCCAAAACTCGGTAGAGGGAGCCTTGTTATAGATCCCCGTACGACCCTCAAAGGGAACCGCATCATAGAACTCCATAGCGCCGTTGAAGGGAATCTATACTACCAGTTAGAGGTGGAGGCTTGCACGGTTTTGGCTTCGGCGGTCCGTGCAGAGGGTCGTGGTTCTCCGCTTTGGACTTGTGTCGTTTGGCGGTGTTTGAATCGCGCATTTTTTGTTTGAGGGGGGTTGTCCAGTTGACATTATTCTCTGAAACCCTAAAGGACTACTAAGCCTTACGCGCCAGAAAACCCGCAACCCGGAACCCACAAACACCCTGAAGTGCTAGACCAGCTGTTTTTGCGAGATTGTACATTAGGCTTCTGGGCCCAGAGGGTGCAACTACCCAAGTTGTTGGGTTGTCGTCCCAAATGCCATTCTGGAATGGTTTCTGGTACTTGAGACCCGACTATTTGCATCATCGGACTTAGTAATTGGGGTTATAAGCAGGGTAACTACAGCTATTACAACCAAGATTTGGTCGCCCCAGACAGAACTGGCTGCATTTCACAAAGAAGGTTGTGTATGCACAAAGGTTATCAATTTGCAACTAGATTGGTTCAACTGTTGAAGATGAAGTTATATACGAAGCAGCTCACAGAGAAGATTTTCCGATGCTCACATTTCTCTCTCCGCAGCTGCGCCAACGCCTTGCGCTCCGCCGGCTGGTTGGGTCAGTGCAGGGTAGGGCTGGGAAAAAAAGGTACTGATAGCCCTGCTTGCTATGTCCCATGATCCCCCGAGTACCGAGTGAGTGCTTGGTGAGATCCTGTCCCTGAACTCCGCAGCCTCAAACCAAAGCTTGCGAGAATTAGGGTTAGGGTTTTAGGGTTTTTAGGGGTTAGGATTTTTAGGGTTTAGGGTTTAGGGGTTGGTTTTTTAGGTCTTAGGGCTTCAGGATTTTAAGCTTTAAGGTTTATAGGCTTTGAACTTAAGGTTCAGGGTTTCGGGACTGTGCTGATGAGGTACAGCCGTGCGGTGAGGGGCATTGTGAGCGGCGAGAAAGGTTTCCTGAAGATGATCTATGCTTCTCGGCCAGAAGTAGTTGGAGTGTCATGGGATTTAGTAAGTAGGGTTATAAGTACCTCAATTGGGGTTTATAAGTAAATGTAACTGTAATTACCTTTACTTATAACCCCAATTACTAAGTCCCATGATCCTTCAAGTCAGGTTTCCAGGGTGTGAAAGGGGTTTATTGTGAAAGGGTGTGTGTAGATCTCAGGGGTTCAGGCTTTAGGGTTTCGGGTTTTCAGGTTTCAGGGTTTGGAGTTTAGAGCTTCAGGGTGTGCAGCTTCGGGCTTTAGGAGTTTCGGGTTGAGGGTTGAGGGGCCAGGCTTCACAGAGCAAGCGAAGCTTCTTGTTGTACTGTTTCTAGGGTTGGGGTTGTCGCTAAGAAGTTCAGGCTAAGGTGTCGCAGCAGGGATGTATGCCTTCCTCCTTCTGGCAATTTAAAATACTCTCATCATCTGAGCCCGAAAGCATCAGTTCGAAATCCGGTTTTTGTGCTCAGACCAGTATCTATCTCTCTGTGGTTCTGCCCGCCTGTTTGTGTCCTCTTGGTCGGCTGGGATGGGTTGGTGTCGGCAAGGGTATGGTAAGTTAGGGCATAGTACGTGCTTACGTTTAACGTATGCTGACAGCTTACCGTCAAATCACCCTGCTACAAGCTCTGTGCCTCATGCAGTATTGTCAGTGTTATCACTATTACAACGGCTGGTCTATCAGCATTATCCTGGAAGACTGCTCTTTGCATGTTTTCATTGGGTCTTCTGACTACGGTTTTATCATTATCTTGTTTTTTTTCCCCCGTGCTTGCCTTTACTGGTTCCTAGACACTCCAATATCCCTTAGTTAAGGAATATTCCTTAAATCCTATGAGGGTTCCTACTATAATTTAAGGTGTATTCCTTAATCAAGGGATATTGGAGTCTCTGGGTTCCACCCCAGGATCGACCTCAGGGCCGGGTGCTCGGCGTGCACATCTGCGGGGCCCAGGCAGGCAGCGAAAGCTTCACGCCCAACAGTACGAATCCCAAAGCCTGCTATGGTTCAGGGTTCAGGGGTTCGCTACTACCACTGTTGCCGCTATCCACTACCACTACCACTACCACTACCACTACCACTACCACTACCACTACCACTACCACTACCACTACCACTACCACTTCCACTTCCACTTCCACTTCCACTTCCACTTCCACTACCACTTCCACTTCCACTTCCACACTTCCACTTCCACTTCACACTTCCACTTTACCACCACTCCACTACTACACTACTACTACTACTACTACTACTACTACTACTACTACTACTACTACTACTACTACTACTACTACTACTACTACTACTACTACTACTACTACTACTACTACTACTACTCCTACTCCTACTCCTACTCCTACTCCTACTCCTACTCCTACTCCTACTCCTACTCCTACTGCTACTGCTACTGCTGCTGCTGCTGCTGCTACTGCTACTGCTACTGCTACTGCTACTGCTACTTCTACTGCTACTACTACTGCTGCTGCTACTACTACAAATATTATGTTTGTTGTTACTTCTGCTGCCTACTACTACGACCACGACGACGTTACGACTACGACGATCGGCGACAAAGACGTTATTACGTTTTGCATGAGTTTTGAAAGGAGTCCCCCCAACCCTAAACCCTATAGGTCCCTTATAAATCCCTTAAAGGAACCCTTAGGTATCTTCCTTATCTAAGGGATATTGGGTGGTTGTCAAAGTTAGGGTCCCTTTTTGGGTCCCTAATATAGTACGGCACCTAATATTTAGGGTAGCCAAAAAGGGGCGATAATTTTGACAACTACCTACATGAGTCTTGAAATAGCCAGGGCTAGCGGGCTCCATGGTGCTGTTGATGGACAGAATCCTGCATGACCCTAAGGACTCTAAGCTATGGGCACTATGGTGTATTCCTTATAATGAGTAATGCAGGTTTTTTGTCCATCAACAGTATGATCTGTAGAAGGTTTCCTTGTATCTTTGAATGACGGTGATGGCTTCGGCACCAACAGGCCCATGACCCCGCACTTGTCAACTCTGAACCCCAAGCCCTAAGCCCTAAACCTTAAACCCTAAACCCAAAACCCAAAACCCTAAACCCTGAACCCTAAACCCCAAACCCCGGCTCAAGGCCGGTGAGCTCATCAACTTCGGTGCAGACGCCGTGGACGACGGCACCACGCACCGGGGCGGCAAAAGAACGATGGGTGAGTTCTCTGGTGGGGTTGGGGGTTCAGGGGTCTTAAGGTGTGTAGGGCTTCATATGGCCCGAGTTTCAAACTGCAAGCTCCAAGCTAGGAGCCCTAACTGGCCCTAACTGCCAAACCATGGGGTCGCAAAAGCCCTACAGCACCCTAAAGTGCCATATATGGTCAGGCGTCTGGCGTTCCCAGCCCCCCCCGCCCCCCCCCCAATGGTATGGTCTGATAGGGGTGGGGGGGGGGGGCTGGCGTGTGCGGAAAGGGGTTGGGGGTTGTTGGAGCTGCGACCGGATGGTGGGGTGGTGCTGGCGGCCAGGGCTCACGCGCAAGCCCTTCGCAAGCAAGCCGTAAACCCTATAACGCAGCGCATGCCCCTGTTTTGAGCAACCTTAACTTGTACTTAAAACGCTACACCCAACCCTAAACCCCACCTAACTGCAGGCTCTAAGCCTAAAGCAGTTCATACACCGCAAATCTTCCCTAAGCCCTTGTCGACTCGAAGCCTTATACCTTGTAACCGTAAACCCAAAACTCACAAGCTTAAGCTAAACCCTAAACCCCAAAACCCCACAACCCCTTTAAAGGAACCCTAAGAGCTCTAAATCAAGGGTCCCTCCTTTCCCCCTTTGATTATACAACGCCACTGGGACCCAGGCCCTCTCCCAATGAGCCAAGGATCTTCGAAATCCTGCAGTTCGTTTTCCCTGCTGCAGCTGAGAAGAAGGAAGTTGAAGGTTCAGGGTTTTTGGGTTTAAGGCTCTGTTTTCAGGCTTTGGGAACCCGAACCTCAAGCCCAAAACCTTACACCCTAAACCCTAAACCCAAAACCTTAAACCCTAAACCCTAAACTAGAAGGGCTCTTGGAGGCTTCTTTAGGTGCTCCAGTTAAAGGTCCGGGGTGCTAGAGTCAGGAGTTACTGTGCGAGTCACGATGCGGCCTACTTGTTTGGTGTTTTTTGTGACTCCTGAACCCTAAACCCTAAACTACGATGGGGAACCCTAAACCCTAAACCCTAACCCCTAGACCCTAAACCCCTAAACCCCTAAACCCCTAAACCCCAAACCCCCAAACCCCAAACCCTAAACCCCTAAACCCCTAAACCCCTAAACCCCCAAACCCCTAAACCCCTAAACCCTAAACCCGTTACTCTAAGGGTTCCTTTCAGAGTTCTGCAGTCGGCCTTTAGGACCTCCATGGCCCAGGGCATACCTTAACCCTGAAAAACCTACTTTTTTAGGGCTCCTTACTATGAGCTCTATATATAAGTCCTTAAACAGGTAGGTTATTTCGGGTTAAGGTAGGGAATGTACGACTCAAGATTCAGCATTTTTCGGTTTAAGGTTGAGAGCTTGCGGTTTTGCTGAAAGTTTACATGTCCCAGGTCACGTACCACGTCCTCTACAACGTGGCGGCGACAGAGGCTTCGAGATTTGATTTTGGGTGCAGTGTCCAGGGTTTAGGGTTCAGGGTCCCGGGTGTAGTGTTTAGGGTGTAGCTAACTCAGAAATCGTACAGCTTGACACCCCGCACCCCCGCCCCAGCCAATCCGCCTGCCTTCTCAGCCATAGGTTCGAAAAGAAAAACGTTTCGGTCAACACTGTCGGTCAAAGCGTTAAACCGTAAACCCTAAACCCCAACATTTTCCATCAACCCTAATTCGCAGGCCAAGCTCCGCATGGGCGGCGTTCAAAATCTCTCGGCTGCGGCGTCCTGGGCCCGGGTGGGGCCCTCGATGCCTTTCCTTCGGGGGTGTAGTTGTGTTGCCCTAACTCCTGTGAACCTTCAAACACAAACTCCCCTTAACCCCCGGTAAGCTTTGGAAAAACACTAAGACCGTCAACTTGGAGGATCATGGGACTTAGCAAGTAGGGTCATAAGTACATTAATTGGGGTTATAAGCAATGATAACTGTAGTTGCCTTACGTATAACCCCACTTACTAAGTCCCATGATCCTTTAAGTAGACCCTAAACCCAAAACCCATATAGTACCCCTATAGATCCCTTAAAGGGACCCCTTAAGGACCCCATTACTAAGTCCCATGATCCTTTAAGAACTCTCCCAAACCCTACACCCGAGAACTCCAAGGTCAAGACGGCGATCATGAAGAGCTTAGAGAAGCAGCAGTCGCAGATGACCTTCGAGGAGGCACATGTTTAGGGTTTAGGGTTTAGGGCTTCTGTCTACATGACGGTGTTCAGGGTCTTCGGTTTCGGGCAGTGGGGTTTAGGGTTTAGGGGCAAGTGCAGTGCTACCCAAAATCTCAATACTCTAAACACTTAGGACTTAGGGCTTCCGCCAAAGGTCGATCATGCCCTTCCCCGGATGCTTGAGGGCTCGCAGGAGTGTTCCCTTTCACTCTGGTGTGGGTCAACCAGGTTCCAATCCCACCAACAAGGCACACTTTGTGGTGTGGCATCGACGCTTGACATCCGAAAGAGCAACTTTTATAGGATGTTGCGCGGCATTCATAAGAAACTTGAGATCTTGAACAGTGAGGCATCCTGCACAACGGACCATGACCCGCCAGCGCAACACCATCATACCGCGTGAACCCTTCCAGGTCCTACCAGCCATACCCCAAACTAAACCCGCAAAGCCTTAAACTCCAAAGACCTTTAAACACCCCAGAAACCCTAATCCCTAAAGCCCTGGATCCAAAAAACAACCCTGGATCTTCAGGCCCTAAAGTAAGCCTGAAAGGGACCCTTTGAATGGGACTTTCCGAGCCCGTTTTAAGAGGCCGTGGAGGCCACCTTCCGAACCTTCGATGCCGATGGCACGGGGCACCTCACTGCGAAGCAGCTGCAGGACCAGGGTTTAGGGTCTAGGGTTTCAGGGTTTAGGGGTTTAGGGTTTAGAAGTTTTGGGTTTAGGGTTTACTCCTGGTTTATCATAGGATGGTTTTCGCCTATGGGGGGTTAGTAGGGATCACGGTTCCCATCATGAGGTTCATATTAAGGAATCTCTATCTTAAACCCCCCTTGTGGCTTCCCATCAGTTTACTCTCAGGGTTTAGGGTTTAAGGGTTTTAGGGTTCAGGGTTTAAGGTGTCGGGTCTAGGGTAGGGTTTGGGGTGTAGGGTTCCAGGTTTGGGGTCCGGAATCAGGACTTGGGGTTTGGCATGTATCGCCTGGGGTTTAGGATACCCTAAACTTCCCTTGGGTTACTAGGGAATGGAGGAATGGGGTGCAATTATAATTACTATGACTACCATTCTTTCATTCCCTACTAACCAAAGGTAAGTGACACCCTGAACACTGCGTACTGAAACACAACTTGCATTTTTGTTATGTGGGAGGCTCGAACGCAGACTGCATCAGACTGCATGGCAACATGTACTTGCTCTACAGAAATGTAGATCGTCGTAGTTTAATGCAGGGTTTGTATGTGACAGGTGTGTTTGATCTTATGTTTGGGTTTATTTGGGCCCGAAATGCTTGAGTCTGGCTCGATGTTGCTTCTGGATTTCCTCAGTTCTCAATACTAGAATTATTAGTATTGTCATTATTATTATTATTATATTTTTATTATTATTAGTATTATTGTTATTATTAGTAATTTTATGGCTGTTATAACTAGCATTTCTATTGCTACTTTCGATTATTTTCGTTTGGGTTGTGAAACCGGAGCCTGCATAGGGCTTTCGGCATCTTGGAAGACCATACGTAAACCCCATAGAGTTGGAAACCGGATTAAGGCCAACTTGTGCTGGGATACCCGAAACATTACTCTTAAGGATCGAGGCTATGGGCAATGGGGTTTCCAACTTTCGGGCTTCTACCGTACGTGTTTAGGGTTGGGAGTTGGGGGGTTCAGGCGTTTACGGGACAGGTTTGGAGTCTGGGAAGGTTGCTGAGGGGTTGACGGTTTGGTATGGTATACAAGTATAAAGTTCTTCCGCAAACCCTCGGCCCTGAATAGGTGATAGTCTGCAGAGGTTATAGGGGTGTTGGGTCAGGAACACGCATAGACTACGGCAAAATATGAGAATTGTTCCGGCCTTTTGGGATTTAGGGTTGAGGGTTCACGGTCTAGGGTTTTGGGGTTAGCGGTGCGTTTCTCCTTTACCTTGCTGCAGGCGGTCCATTTACAATAGCCCGGAAATACTCATACTATGATATACCTCGAAAGCCTAAACCCTGAAACCCTTAAACGAAACCCCGAAACCCCAAACCCCCAACCCCCAAACCCGTAAATCCTAGAGCTCCGAAGCGTCCCCGAGCCACAAAGTCTTGCTTTGCAGCTCGTAGCCATATGTACTTCGCTTATAGCTCCATTTGCTACAGTAGCTCTCATGATCCTTGAAACGCTAAACCCTAAACCCTAAACCCTAAACCCTAAACCCACTTATAAATCCATTCTGGAAGCCTTTATGTTCCTGAGCCTCATGAGAATTCTTAAAACCGTTAACCCTTGTGGATCCCGTATCGAAGCCCGTTAAGGAGCCCTTTAAGTTTCTCGGTTCCTTGATCCTTTATGTCCGTAAACGCCTAAACCCCGAATCCCCTTATCCCCTAAACCCCTAAACGTTAAACCCTAAACCCCTAAACCTTAAAACCCTAAGCCCCATGATCTTTTAAGTAGCCAGGCCTCCATGAGAAGCATCGGGCTCACCTTGTCCGACGAAGCCGTGGAGGACGGAGGGTTGAAGCCCAACTGCGGTTGATGACATAAATTCGAGTTTCCCGAAAATTAGGGGGTACCTCAGGGTTCCTTAAAAGGGTTACTATAACATTACTCTAAGGGTTCTATAAAGGTATAAAGGGTTTAGGGTTAAGAGTTTCCGAAAGTAAATTGAGGGGTATCCTTTCAAATCCTGCATTATACATAGTGAGGAATATACCATAGTTCCCATAGTCTAGGGCCATTAAGGTAATGCAGGATTTGTATCATCAGCCGTAGCAGCGGTGAGGTTTTGGGTTGGGGACGTCGGGTTTAGGATTTAGGATTTAGGGTTAGGTTTTAGGGGTGTGCTTGGAGGACCGGAGAACTTAGCAAGCAAGCTTATAAGTATTGTAATTGGTACGACAAGTAATTACTTATAACCCTAGTTGCTAACTCCCAAGATCCTTTAAGTTGCAATGAAGCTTTGGGTGTTGAGGACTCCCTTTGAAGGCGTTCTCGAAAGGTTCTTAGAAGGGTTTAGGGTTTTTCGGGTTTGGGTTTACGGGTTTGAGGGTTTTTTGAGGGGTCAGGGTTTCGGGATCACCTTCAAGGGTGCTTATAGTTCTTATAGTAGAGATCTTGATCTGACTATTCACAGACTCTTTTTTTCACAGGTCCTTATTGAGGATCCGCGTATTCAGGACCTATAGTAAGACTGCTTAGCCCGGACCAAGCACAGACGCTCGAGGAACTCAAGTCGATGACAGACGCTGCTACTCGTTTTTACAACCAGTCAACAACGGCTGTTCGATGTCCAAGTATCACAAATCTGAGTTGCAGTTCTGGCTAAGTGTTAACGTGGTTGTGCGGGTACTGTTAGATGCACATACAACTCTTTGAGGCGCTCAAGCATTCGGGGTGGAAACTGTGGCTACAGCTATCCGATGCGTGGGTCGGTCAGACTCTTTGCCATTGTCTCTCAGACTCATCGATGCTGCGGGCGCTCGCTTACAGCCCTCCCGGTACCCGGTTCTGCGCTGCGCTCGCTTTTGCCACTCCTAAACCCCTTAACCCCCATTCCCCGAAACCCCCAAACCCCTAAACCCCGAAACCCCAGCCCCCAAAAACCCCTAAACCCCGAAGCCCGTAAACCCGTATTTTCTCTAAACCCCTGAGCCCCTAAGCTCCTACACTCCGGTTGCTACGAGATGGTCCCCGAGATAGTTCCTAGTCTGTCGTGAGTGCCTCGCTGTCTAAGGCCGGCGGGGCAGTCACCGGTCCCTTCGTTGCTACGTTCTTGGAATTACTCGAATGCCATGGGAAATGTTTTTGGCCCAGGTAAGGAACCTATGGTGTGCTTAAGACCGTACATGTCCCCACAAGAGGTTTTTGTAACAATTATCGTAAAGGTGGTCGGTCTCGTCGCCGTGCGAACGCAGGCTAATTCGTTTTTTACATCTAGATCCTCTGGCTGAGGATCCAGTCGTCTCTCTCGCTAGGATTGTTTGCTAGCTGCTTGCATAAACCCCTAAGCCCCGAAACCGCCAACCCCCTAAACCACGGACCCCCTCAGCTTCTACTTTTAAACCGCAGAACCCCAAAATCCACCCCCAAACTCCTAAACCTACAAACCCCTACCCCTGAACCCCCAAACCCCTAAGCCCTTAAGCCCACAAACCCTTCAAACCCTCGACCCCCAAAACCTTCAACCCCTAAGCCCCATGATCCTTGATCCTTGAAGCAAGAGGACATGACATGATCCTTAAACCCCTAAACCCTTATAGATCTCTTGTGGAACCCTTTAGATTATATACTAAGCCCCCAAACCGTAAACCCTTACACAGATCCCTTGCGAAACCCTTTTGAAAGCAAGACAATCCAGTATCCCTTAAGGAATATTCCTTGAAGCCGTAAATCATAGTAGGGATCCTACTGCAATTTCAGGTATATTACTTAATTCCGGGATATTGGAGTCCCCCAACCCTACACCCTATAGGTCCCTCGTAGATCCCTTAAAGGAACCCTTAGGTATCTTCCTTATCTAAGGGATACAGTAAACCCCATAAAGTTGGAAACCGGGTTAAGGCCAAATAGTGCTGGGATTCCCTATACATTACTCTTAAGGATATGAGGCTATTGGGTTTCCAACTTTTTGGCTTCTACCGTATTGGGTTCCTTGAAGCAAGAGGACATGATCAAGGAGGCGGATCAGCAGAGCCAAGGTTTCGTCGTGCCTCGGAGCCGGAAGAAGCTATCGAACAGTTGATGGTATAAATCCTGCATGACCTTAAGGACCCTAAGCCATGGGCATAATGGTATATTCCTTAATATGGGTAATGCAGGGTTTTATATCATCAACCGAATCACGGAAGACGTTCTATAAGAAGGAGAGGGTTTAGGGCCTTTGGGGTTTAGGATTCAGGGTCTAGGGCTTAGGATTTAGGGCCTAGGGTTTAGAGTCTAGGGTTAGGCTTGAGGGTTTAGGGTTTAAGGTTTTGCGGTTTAGGTTTTTGGTCTAGGGTCTAGGCGTGTGGGGGTTTCTTCAAGTGTCTCTAGGGTTAGCATGAGATCTACCCATAAGGGCCACTGTAGGTTTTGGCTTTGCCACTGAAGATAACCCGCAACCCTTAACCTCCATAGACACCTTAAAGGCCTCCTTGCAGTAAGCCTAAATCCCAAACCCTGAACACTTGGAACCCTAAGCACGAAACCCTGAGCGTTTGGAGTTGAGGGGGCACGGGATGCAGGGTTTGAGACTTGGGCCTTGGGTCTAGGGCTTGAGGCTTTAGGGTTGTGAGAGGTGCCGTCAGGGGTTCCGTGACGGGCTCCTTTAAGGGTTGCATTGGTTTTAAGTTTTTTGGGCTTCAAGGTTCAGGATTTACATACTGTTGATGGACAAAATCCCACATTACCCATTATAAGGAATATACCATAGTTCCCATAGTTTAGAGTCCTTAGGGTCATGCAGGATTTTGTCCATCAGCAGTAGAGAGTGCGTCTTGCAGAGTTGGATCTGCCTTGACTGCCAACTGCAACTTAGGGTTTAGGGTTTAGGGATTAGGGTTTAGGGTTTAGGGTTTAGGGATTAGGGTTTAGGGTTTAGAGTTTAGGGATTAGGGTTTAGCGTTTAGGGTTGAGGGTTTAGGGTTGCATGGCCCTAAGCCCTAAACCCCAAACCCCAATAAAGGCAGCAGAAACTTTACCCTTAGTCCTTACGTGCCTTGCCAACGGTAACCCACTGTTTCGTGACATCCTCCTTTTCTGATTTTTGCGAGATTCGCTCACCTCCCACAATCTTTCAAAGCATTGGCAGCGGTTCGTGTCAAGAACCCAAACCCTGCACCCCTAAACCGTGTAGCTGCACACGTCAAACCGGCTCAACCGAAGGGTTCACCCCAAGCCCTAAAGCCTCGTAGGCTTGTTGTCCCACGCCCGAGCAAGACGTTTAGGGCATGCTCTTTTTTGGATTTGATGCCTCAGGGCCTTTAGGGTGTTGGTTTCTTAGGACCCAGGGGTTCACTCCAAGATGCCGCAGTCCAAGGATTACCCAGACTTTGTGACGATCTGCCGCACCTGCGGCATGGGTCCAGTCAAAGCAGCCAAGGCTTAGAGGAAGCAACAGCGCTGTGTAAGCTTGAAGATGACCCGCTTTATATAAGACCCGAATCCGATGTCCCTAAATGGCACCAAACCTTAAACTTGAAGTTGAGGTCCCGGCAACTGTAGTGGCAGCGAAGACAAGCTGTCGCAAACTCAATGCATTGGTCAATGAAAGTCTTCGACCGCCCGCTTTCCCTTCCGTTTTTTCGTGTGGACTTCAGCCGTGTGCAGGAAGAAGCCTCCACTGCCACCTGTTCGCTGCTCAACCGCGGCATTGTCAACTCAATTGCCCGCATCTGAAAACGGAAGAAACGGCGCTAAGCAAATCAATCAGCTGAAACCTGATAGGTCCAGATACGCCTGTGGGGGTGGGGCGAGAGAGTTTGACTGAAATGACAGATTAGAGGTATCTTCCTCGTCCTGTCCGTTCCTAGAAGGCCCATGGGAAAGTTTCGGCACAGACTTTCCAAGAAGCTGGCAAGCAATGGAAACACAACGAGGCAAGGAAGACCACCGCCAAGAAACGAATACACGAGAAGAGGACAACAAAGAAGGTCAAGAAAAGCAACGAACAAGTGAACAATAGAGGAGCAATAAGGGCAGGCAAATGCCAAGGAGGAGGGAGAAAGACAGAAAGGATAAGGAACCGCACAAGATGAACAAAAGGCAGGAGGAAATAATGTAGGGGCCTTAATAATTACCTATGATATTTTGGCGATTCCTTATTATAGTATAATGGGCCCCCCAAATCTATTCTAATTATTAAGGCCCCTACATTATAGAACCCTACTATAGAGCCTTTTAACAAACCCTTTAAAGGGAACCCTCTTCTAAATATTAAGGCCCCTATAGCTTTATATAAAGCTCGGAGATTCACGGCTTGCATGGCTTGCCTGCAGTGGGCTCGCTGTTTAGGGTTTAGGGTCTAGGGCTTTATAGGGTTTTAGGGTTTAGGGCTTTCGGGTTTTATCGGGTTTTAGGGTTTAGGGCTTTAGGGTATTGTAGGGTGTTAGAGGGCTTCAGGGTTTTAGGGTTTGCTCCCGCATCTTCTCGGACACCATGCTTGGGCACATGCGGCTTTGTTTGCTGCGAATCCCCTCCAGTAATCCCAAACAGGCCGAACCCTGAAGCCGTCAAACATAGATCTGAAACCCTACCAACCCGAAGCCTGAACTGCGAAGCCTAAACCGTTATGCAGCCCAAACCTCAACTGGTCAACAACAGCGAGCACAGCTTAAACCGGAAGCTCGAAAACGCGGCGTGTTGCTTTGCTGGCGGCCTCCAAAGAGGTTCCCGCCCCCCGCCCAGAGAGCTTGAAATGACAGAGGTTGAAAAGGTCTTTTGGTTTTGTCATAGAGGGATAGCTAGATATACTATCATGTACATACATAAGCATACCTATACATGTGTATACTTTCGCCGAACACACCGCAAAAAATGCTAATAAAGCTTCATTGAATAGCCTTTGTTTGAGAGATTTCGGCTCTCTCGGCACGGTTTGTGTATCACCCACGTGGTGGCTGTTCCAAACTCTGTTTGGGCTTCAAGGTTCCTATCAGTTCCGAGACCCCCGGGAGGATCTAGAAAGTGGGATCCCCTAATTTGGGGCCTTGTACTGCTAAGGGTACTTTATAGGAACCCAGGGATCTACTTTTTGGATCGTTTTGGGTTGGGAGCTGCCAAGAGTTCAAGTTCCATGCAAAGGTTGAGCGCCGGACGCTCAGGCCTTAAAGTGCAGGGTTTAGTGTTGGGTTTTGGAATAGGGTCCCTGGTTCGTCAGCTCTTGTCACTTTACTTGACAAGCTCGGAAAGCTGGATTTCTGCTTTGGAGCAGCCCCCTGCGCATGAGAAGGATTCTCCTGGCCAGCTTGCCGGCGATGGCAGCTGCACACCTTCTCCTTGAGTTTCGAAAGGCTCTGTCAACCAACCTTGCTACTCTGAAGATGAAGATTCCTCAATCGACGCCTGATGCCCCCCAAAACCAGAAAACATCTTGCAGCCCCTTAGCTCTAAACTTGACGTCCTAACAACCCTAAACACAACTTAGGGGTGAAAGCCACCATCCTCGAGCGCCCCCAAACCAAATTTGAATTTCATACATGCGGGGGCCCTAATGTCAGCACTGAATGGTAGGATCCTCGTTCTAACGATCCTCCAAAAGGATTTAGGGTTTAGGGTTTAGGGGTTTAGGGGTTTAGGGGTTTAGGGGTTTAGGGGTTTAGGGGTTTAGGGTTTAGGGGTTTAGGGGGTTTAGGGGCTTTAGGGTTTAGGGTCAAGAAAGCATCGACGAAGAGCCTCGGATCTCATGGCCGGCCAGGCCGAGAGCTGAACAAAGCTACACACTACCCAAAGACTCCAATATCCCTTAATTAAGGGTTATTCCTTAAATCATATTAGGATCTACTATAATTTGAGGAATATCCCTTAATTAAGGGATATTGGAGTCTCTGGGATCATGGGACTTAGTAGTTGGGGTCCCTTTAAGGGATCTATAGGGGTACTATAAGGGTTTAGGGTTTAGGGTCTACTGAAAAGATCGTGAGACTTAGTAATTGGGGTCCTTAAGGGGTCCCTTTAAGGGATCTATAGGGGTACTCTAAGGGTTTAGGGTCTAGGGTCTACTTAAAGGATGATGGGACTTAGTAATGGGGGTTATAAGTAGGGTAGTTGTAGTTCTAGCTACTTACAACCCCCGTGAGGGTACTTGTAACCTTACTTACCACGTCCCATGATCCTCCAAGTACACCGTGGAGCAGCCTCAGTTGCAGAACAGCAGCATGCTGTACGTGCATCCGGGTTCTCGTGAACGAAACACAACGTGTTGGCAACAAGTGCCTTCGAGGCGACACTTTTCGCCACGCCCTGGACTCTCCTACCCAAGGTGTAGACTCGCTTGGTGAGCTCGTTCGTGGCTGCGGATTCGCAACCGGAATGCTGGAGCTACCAAACCTTTCAGGTTGTTTAGCAGCAACAACATCAACTACCACCACCGCCCCAACCAACCAACCATAAGGCATACATTACATGAATACGGCGCTGTACTGAGCATGTTGTTCATGCCTGTAGCCGTTCATGCGACGAACCGTTGTTGCAAGTGAAGGGAAACCAGCTTTCCACGCAACTGTACTAGCATGTAAAGGGAACCCCTCGTGCATAAAAGTCGCTTGCCAATCTATCCATACATTCCGCAGAATTCTGCAGACAGACGCCTTGCCCCAATCAGGCCTGAAAGGCAAGATCAGGCGAGGCCCACTGCTACTATGCAAGCGGCTGGTACTGCGTGTGGCTTGGTTGTCAGGAACTAGGTTGAACCCGCTGCGGGAAAGAGCGGCGCGAAAAGCTTCCTTAAAGTTTGAAGCGTCAGACTTGTTGCTGCAGTTTCTCTCAAACCGTGCCAGCTGCGAGAAAGGCCAACTGACATGCACGTTCCAAGCATGACCACTCCTGCACGATAAAGGAATCTGCTGGGACGTCGGTTTAATAAAGCAGACGTAATCAAGCAAACCAGTCTTGCGCCACCTCATCCCTTTGAAGACAGTCAAATCCAACATTTGGGCTTCACTGTAATGAATAGACTCAATTTTGATCTTGAAAAACCTCGCGAGGCTCTTTATTCTGCTGTAAAGGCGAAGTCGCGAGGGACTTGAGCCACCAAGAGTCAATATTGCGTCATCTTTATATCTTGCGAAGAGGGAAATATTGTACTCAGAGATGCTGCTCGGCTGTAGAAGAAACTTGTCAACCATATGGTAAAAACACAGATCACTGATGTCGCCGCTTGGGATGAGCCCCATTCCGGAGCCTTGCACTGTGCACCATGTTTCGTCATGTCCAGGTATACTGATATATTGGTTGTACAGTACAGTCCTCAGCATATTGCGCCCGGCCTCTCGCACTGCAGGCTCAAAATACTGAGAACAGATCTCTACCAAATCAGGCAAGTGCCCAGACATAAAGAAATCTTTGATATCAATCTTCACCAAAACATGGTCGTGAGGAATGATGTGGGTACTCAAGCGGTGAATCAAACTTTGTGTATCGCGCAGCAAATGAGGAAGATCAAGGCTCTTTCGCAACTCTTGGGACAGCCATCTCATGCCTGGTGCAAACGGATGCTGTGCCGACGTATGGATTGGTCGCGGCACAACTTCTCCAGCATCTTTGTGAGTTTTGATCGTAATATCCAGAAAAGATTTTGCCCTGCCATGACCACGACGGTAATCACTCAGCAAAACTCCCTCAAGATTCTTGTCGCCAACAGCATCTGCCACAAGTCGAACTGCCTGCAAATACTGCTGACCCACAAGTGCGTTGACCTCATCGTCAAAAATTGCTGGTTCGTAGTGTTCTGAGCCCATGTTATTCAAGCAAAGCCGCACAATATCATGTTTTCTAACAAGGACAAAGCCACCATCCTTGTCTGTCTTGCAGGCCCCCCATTCTCCCTTAGAGAGAATGTCAAGCCCGAGTCTGCAGACACCATTCAGATTACTGAGTCTATGCCTGCAGCAAAAAAAGCGACTGCGTGTAGCTCTGCAACTAGAGAAAACCTTACTCTTGCATTCATCAATGTAAGCATGGAGAAAATTCGGAATCGGGGTGCTGCACCAAGTGGTATCACGACCTTTGGAGATAAAAGATCTCCACGGATTCTCACTCGGATATCGCCAGAAGTGGTACCTCCAACGCACCTTCGCTTCCCAGTTCCGCAAAGCCCTTCCCACTTCAGAAAGATGCGGTGGCTTCCGCGGGACAAAGACATGCTTACGATGGTGCTTTGCAAGAAGATACTCAACAGGCCAAGCAACTTCCCCTTCTCTCGCGACAAAAGCAGAAGCTGTGTCAAAATCATAAATATACAAGCCATGCTGTCCCAACCCACATTCAGTCAATGCCAAAAGCTCATGCTCAGACATGCCTCTGATGAGTTGGAGGAAAAGGCGGACTATTGGTAGACCATTCTTCCTCTGCTGGCGTTTCCCGGAGGAGCATAGCCTTTGCCACGCCCTG